ASAATACAGACAATATAGAAAATATAGAAGCTAAAAATCCTAAGGCATCAGATGAGGTTATTAACTAGTAGAACCAATCAATGTAAAGGTTAAATGTAAGAACAGGCATAGTATGTAAAAGAACTTATGTAATGATGATTCAGCAGAAAAAGTATATAAAATGGATGGGTTTTGTTTAAGTGGAACATATTTTTGGAGGAATTATCTGCTGTGTTCATGGCGCCTGAATAAAGAAGTGTCTGCTTATTCACATCAAATTGGTGTTGGATAAGTTCTTTTCATCCTGTCTGGTGATATCACACAGGCCTGCTAAATTATAGAAACGTTGCTAATAATTTTGCCAGAATTACAGTTAAGAATCTTTTTTGCACAGTAGCCTTAATAAACAGAGTATGTACCATTCACAAACTATATATACAAGGCGCTGCAGGGCCGTGACTTCCCCGTTAACCCACCYGGAAGGSAAGAATTTTTATCGCCCCCTTGCCCCTCTGGAGACCGGCCTTGTGCTTTCCCAGTGCTCCGGCCCAACTGGCCCCAGCACAGCCGGCCCTCCTGGCGGTGCCCTCCGGATGGGTGGTGCCGAATCTCGGCCGGGGGAAAGGGCAGTTCTTGCCAGTGGTGCTCCGCTGCCCTCCAGCTCCGCTCGCAGCGCCGAGTCCTGCTGGGACAGGAGGGCTGTGAACTGCGCCGCGCCCCCTCCTCTCGCCTTTCGCCGCCGTGACAGACGCATCCACTGGTGAGGCGGCACCGTGGGRCGGGTGACGATTTGCCCCGCCAGGTATAGGGTATAGACTGAGGCGCTCTGAGATAGGGTCTCACCGGGGCTGGTGCCTGTCAGGGTCGGAAGAGACTCCCTGGGCTGGCCGGGGCCGCCGCCGCAGTGGAAGGAACCGCGCTGGCTCGGGGGTTGCACTGCCTTTCCCTCTGCGAGGGGCGAACCGGGCTGCGAAAGGCGAAACGCCTCCCCGCTGGGTCTGGTTTGTGTTTCTCGGAGGYGGATGGCATCTGTGGAAAGGTCTTCTGCAACCAAGCGGCGGGGATGGGCGACCTGAAGACGCTCCACTCGGGAGCGCAGCTGGTCTTGCTGCTGAAGGAGCTCACCCTGCTGCCACGGTCTGGGAACAAAGGTCCGGCCCCTGCCCCTTCTCGCGGACTGTGAGCCCAAAGGGGAAGCCCCAGTTCTAGTCCTAGTTTATAAAATTTATATTTGATGTATTTATTTTTTTACTAAAAAGAATTCCATCAGTTCTGACAATAATCGATTCTGGAGTATCTGTCACCCACTATTGTTTCCAATGCTTTTCTTTTGAGCGGAAAAGCACTTTTAAATTGTTTTGAATAGATACCTTCCTGCCTGTGTTCTCCTGGCACTGAACACATGTACGACCTTATGTAAGACTCCCCCACTCACTCGCAAAACACCGAAGTCCAGTTCTGAATCCTTGTGCTCATTTTCTTTTAAGTGAAGTGGATTCAGACCTATATCCTGTGTCACTTTTCAGTACACAAATTCCTTGTAAATCTCAGGTACTTGKGTCACATTCTCTGTTAGTGTTCGAATAACAATTACAAATAAGAATTTCAAGTTAGATGGATATCTGCCTTTGATTTTTATTTTGGAGATCATAGATATCTTTCATCTTTGAGGATTAAAATTTGACTCAGACTCTAAAATTTTAAATGAGACCTAAAAGTACCATTTTTTTTTTCCTTGACTCATTTCAAAGTGGATTTGCTTCACTATTCCTCGTGCTTCACTAGCTCAAGGATACTACCCACACATSTAAGTTGAAGTGTGTGTTGCAACATTGACAGTTGATGAGTAGCAAGGAGAGATTTCCTTTCTGAAAGAATAAATTTGTGGCTTTTTATCTGAGCTGAATTAAAGTGTTTCATGTTTATATCTGTCTTTCAGTCCTGAAAAATGCCCCACATTTCTTAATCCTGTACCAGGTGCTTTCTGGGAAGCTGGTCCTCTGTCCTCAGGAATGTCTCTCAGATGTGGTCTGGTTTTCTAGAGCTACTGAATTTTTCTGCAGAATTCAACCCTTGCATGATTTAATTTCAGTTTTGCAAAGTTTGTAATTGGAGGGATGCCTGGGTGTCTGCTGATAGGTATGTGGATGTTGAGAGCTCAGCTGTGCTTATGGTGTCTGATGCTGCTGTGGTTCCTGGGTTCACATGTTTCTATTAACAGCTGTTCTCAGTCTATTAGAAAATTAAATGCTGAGGCTGAACTACTTAACCTGAAAGTGCTTTTTCTTGCAGGGAAAATGTTGCATTAGATTAAAAATTTTGTCATTGAGGAACCAAAATACTGGCTGGATATTATCTATATTTGGAGAAACCTTCATGGACGTGAGGGGAAAAAAGATGATGGCTCTCCAGAAAACCCATTGGCTCTGAAGAGAAAATCAGAAGAGAAAAATTCTGAAACTAAAATGCAGAAAAAAGAACACATGAGAGAGATTCTGTATGAGTAATGTCAGGAGAGGGGTGCATGGTGCCAGATAGAATGAGCAATCAGAACTGGCAGACTGAAAGTAAAAGACTTCTCAGAAGGACCCTTCCAAAAGGAGYACAGAGAGTCCTACAGGGAATAAGCAGCTTAGATTCAGTTTCAGTGTCTTTTCACTGAAGTATTGGGGCAATTGCCAAAATACTTCACAGAAGTGTCTGAAGTTTCAGAAAAATTAGCAAAGGTGAATGGAGATGTGTAGTCTATTTGTCATTTCACCTGTATAGTGTAGATTCCAAATAACAAACCAACTCAGGCTTTTTCTGTATTTTCTCAAAAATCCCTTAACCTGCATTCACCATMAACAAGTGGAAATACAAAGGCTGTTGATTTCTGGACACTGGGTCAGTGAAGGGAGAGCAGTGGATGCGGTCTACCTTGCCTTCAGGAAGGTTTTTGACGCTCTCTCCCATAACATCCTCATAGATAAGCTCAGGAAATGTGGGTTGAATGGACAGTGAGGTGGATCAAGAACTGGCTGACTGGCAGAAATCAGACAGTCATGATCAGTGGAACAGAATCCAGTTGGAGACCTGTAGTCAGTGGCACTCTCCAGGGATCAACACCGGGTCCAGTCTTACTTGACTTGTTCATTAACAACTGGGACAAAGGGATGGAATGTACCCTCAGCAAATTTGCTGATGATATAAAATGGAGAGTAGTGGCTGATCCACCTGAAAGCTGAGCTGCCATTCAACAGAACCTTGACAGACTTGAAGAAATGGGCATAGAGAAACCTAATAAGGTTCAGCAAAGGAAAGTGTAGAGTCCTGCACTTGGAGAGGGATAACCCCCAGTACTAGGACAGCCAAGGGGGACCTGCTGAAGGGCAGCTCTGTGGATAAGGAGTTGGGAACCTTGGTGGATGACAAGTTGACCATGGGTGGGCAATGTGCCCAGGGGACCAGAAAGGCCCATGGGATCCTGGGGTGAACTGGGAAGACTGTGGTCAGAGAATCCCTTGCTCAGCCCTTGAGGCACATCTGGAGTGCTGTGTCCAGTTCTGGGCTCTGCGGTACTAGAAAGACAAGGAGCTACTGGAGATGGTCCAGTGGAGGCCACAAAGGTGTTTAAGGGTCTGGAGCATCACTGATAAGGAGAAACGGTAGGAGCTAGGCCTGTTTAATCTAGAGGAGACTGAGAGGGGATCTAATTAATGTATATAAATATCTCWATGGCAGGTGACAAGAGGGTGGTGCCAGACTCTATTCAGTGGTGCCTACCAACAGGCAAGGAGCAATAGCCATAAACTAAAACACAAGAAGCTTCRCATGAGGAAGAACTTCTTTACATTGTGGGTTGCAGAGCACTGGGACAGCTTCCCAGGGAGGTTGTRGAGTCTCCCTCTCTGGAGATGTTCCTGTGTCACCTCCAAGTGACCTTGCCTTGGTGGGGTGGTTGGATTAGATCATCTCCAGAGGTCCTTTCCAACCCCTAACAATACTGTGAATATTTTTCAAATCAATGCCTGTTATTGAGGATAAGTAAAGGTATGAGGTTGATGTAGCTGGGCCTGTGGAATCTGAGGAGTGATCAGTTTGCAGCTACTTAAAGCTAGCCTGACTCCTTTCATTTGTGGCAGAGAGTGTAAAAGAAGGGGTACAAAAGTCAGACCTTGCGAATCAGTGGGCTCTGTTGGGGTTTTGGGGGGAACTTGTTCCCCAGGGGGCTGGTATGCTGGGAGGAGATGGGAAGAGGAACAGCASGGCAGGTGTGGGTCTGGCTGGACTCGATGATCCTAGTGGGTCCTTTCCAACTCACGATATTCTGTGTTTCTGTGCATATTTCAAAAATACAATGAATCTTGAACATTTCTTCTTTAATAAAGTTCAAAGATGAAAGCAAATATAATAATAAAAAATATTTACCCAATATTAATGTGCCTTTTTCTTGGCTTTGTGCTTTTTACAGTTTTGGCCACGCTATCTTTGTCTCCTTTTATCATCTTTGGTACTAGTGTCATCACAACTTTGCCATTTTCTTTTTCTTTCAGAGGGTCTTTCATSCTGCTTGGTGCCCTTCGCAGTCACTTGGCTGTGGCCAATTCAGAAGAACTCTGTGCAGTCTTAACATGTGCAGTTTGATTCTGATAGGAAGAAAAGGATAAATCTGAAGGCATTGGTGGAGTCATCTGCTATTTGTTAAGGAAACTGTTAAGGAAATTGTTAAACCATTGGACTCTGTACTGTGTACTGCTGCCATAAAACCTGGTACATTCAGAGAAAGAGAAACCTGAGGAGGTTTAACATTGTGAGGAGGACGTTTTAAAGAACATAATTTTGCCTGCTTTATGACKTATTTAATTAAAAGACCGACAAACTATAAAATAACACAGAATGTTTGGGAATAAAGCTGTTTTATTACAACAACTAGTATAGTTCAGAAAAGCAGGCAAATTTTTCATGGCAAAGTTAGAAAAGCAACATAATCTGATTTAAGATTAAATTACCAGCTAGTCCTCATGTAAGGTAAACAAACATGGTATTCCTTTCATTTCCTCATCTCTATTTGATAAATACTTGTAACTGCAGTGCCTATTGGCAATGTAAAGGCATGCACATCAGCAAATTCCTCAAACCTGTTTTAACCAATTTTAAAGTCAATGTGGAACAAAGCATTCTGACAAGAAGCTTAAAAGTCTCCCGGGTAAGCGACCTGCCTGGCTCACCCAAGGCAAGGTAAAGTAGGTGTGTGAAGGCATRCTAGTAATGAGATCACTTCCTGCTGAAGCTTCAAAAGGCTCTCATGGGAGACACACTGCAATACCATCCTCCCTGGCAAGCAGAAAATGGGATGAACTTGGTTGTGTGTGCCTGTCTGCTGAGTCTGGTCTCACAGTGTGTRACTGCTGCCTTGTTACTGAGGAGTAGGTTCATCAGCAAGCACAGAGGGGAAGATGGTGCATTTGAGCCTTCCAAAGGGAGAGGARGAGATGGGAAACTTGGTACAAGCATTAGCTTTTCTCAGGGCACAGTCTGGGAAGAGGGGAGGGCACACCCCCACTCCATCCATGCAATAAGGAACAGATTCTCTCCATTTTAATGCTCAGACTGCCCACCTTCTGTTTTTCTAAGGCGCTGGCCAGTCTCTAGTCAGACTGGGTGAGCAGGACTGTGCATACGTGGTACCCCATGCTTAAAGGCTGGGTTTCTTCAGTCTACCAGTCCATAGACTCATCAGATTCAGAAGGTTCATGATGTGTTTGGGAAGTAGGTTTGATGCACAGGTTTCCACCTAAAGACCAGTTCCCTTGCTTTGTGGAATATCTCAGACAGAAGAGAATAGGGCAAGAATGGTCCAGTGCACCAGAGTCTTGTAGAGGGGAAGTCTGGGTTCTTGTCATCTACTGCTGTGAAAGTAAATAATGAAGGAGTGACCTATGTGGGAATGTCAAGGTTCAGGCCAGAAATCCCCAAACTGTTGTTTCCCAAACTTGAGCAGCAGTTATTAATTGAATTTAAGGTTTGCTTTTAGCACATTACAAGCTTCTGCTGGGCATTTCTCAATTGGGAAGAACTAAGAGATTTCCCTGATAGAATTAGCTGTGTGTGAAGAAGCTGTTGCTTGCATGGTTTTAGTCCAGTGAGGTCAACATGTCCTGCCATTTGGAACACAGGGCAGGAGAGACTTCATAGAATTTAGCATTTTCAGCTTCCTTAAGCGATGTACCTTTAAGCCATTCTTACAGGAAGAAGATAGTTTGGTAGATCCCATCATTAGAGGACCCTGAAGCGTCCTAATACTGTGCTTATAGCACATTTTGAGACATGAAGTAGGCACTGTTTTTTGCAGAAATGAAAAATGCATTCAGCTTTATAAAAATGCTCCCAAATTTTTAATAAACTCACCATATCCTGAAAGCCAGGGTGATCGTGAAGTAAATTGTTGTTCACTGGCAAAGGAGTAACAGTAAATGGAGAATTTCCATAAGGCTCTTGATGTCTAAAGGAAAAACAAGCAAATGTACAGAGTCTCGATGTCCATCACATACTGCTTATCAGAGTACTGAGACTTAACTCTTGGGCTGCAATGGGAATATCCAAGAGGACAAGTAAGATATTAACAACAGGACTTACATGAAAAAAAAAAATAAAACAAAGGAAATATACCCAAAAGCTTAATTAATGACAATCCTCATATGTGCATGCACAAAAGGGTGCTAGATTTCACCATGGGAGGTCAGTTTAAATACTGAATCTGGGGTGTTCAGGCTTCCATTGTAACAGGTTTATAACTGTGCACCCACATGTACATGTCAGCTGCTTGTGCTTATACACACAAAAAATGCAGGTATAAACTCAGTGGAGGTTAAAAAATATTATCTCTGTTGTCAGATTTTTTTCCCCAATRACTGTAAACACTGTTAGTGCAAAAGCCAGGGCTCAGTATGTTCTCATGGTCCTGAATATTGTAGAAACAAATAAAGAATGGAAAATTGAAGCTAACTAAACATCTAGCAAGCTAAACAACCAAACATTAAATTAACTGAAGCATGTTGCAAGTCCTCAGTAAGGATGCAATGACAAGATGCTATTTTAATGAAAAACCTCAGGATTGCTCTACCGCACCAACTCACTTTCTTAATAAGATTTTAAAAAATATATATAAGGTTCTTTTACAGGTGATCTTTGTTACCTGTCTGCAGGAGAATGTAAGTCAATATGGTTTTCAAAACCATGCGTACAGCTGTCTAGTTCTGGTGAGTGAGAACTCCCTGTAAATAAGAGTGTAACATTCAATCATGACTATTCAATTAACAAGTTAAAACCCACAGAAAGTGTTTTGTGTCATCTGTAGTATGCTAGTACATCTCAGGTAGTATACAAATGTTATGGTGTCATTTTATAGCAGATAATCAACAGCAGCATTTTAGAGCTTGAAAATGTTCATTTTTCATTTATTCCCTCACAGAAGCACAAATTAGGGCTGTTGAAGTGATCAAGAACAGCATCATTGTCATCCAGTAACAGACACAGGAGATGGTTCTGATTTTGGGAACCTCAGATACTCTGCTTAAACCCAGCAACTGCTCTGTAGAGCCTTTGAAAGAAGCAGTGGCACAGCAGGAACATGAGTCCTTAATGTCTGGGTTGCAAATGCTGCCTGTTCATTGGCTTGCTCAAAGGTTTAGTTCCATAAACACAAAATGAAGAGTATTACTTTGAATTTAACATATACTTTGAACTACAATTCCTTCCTTTTAAAACAACAACTCCGTGCTTGTATTAGTCAGAAAGTGATCCAACAGCTCAATAGTGGCTGGCCTTACTGAATCAACTTCTCCTGTCAGTCTGTAAGGTAAAGTTACACCCCAATTCCCACATGTAATCTGGCATGAAAACCTGGATCGCTGTTTTCCATGCAGCAGTGTCTGACACAACTTGCAAGTTACGCTGTTCTGAACCAATCTATTGTATTCTCTTAGTAAACAAAATAATACAAGGACTTAATACTTCCCTATGCAAATGCAATAGGAAGACTTTGTTTCTTTTTTTTTTTTAAACCTCATTTTTCCAACTACACATTGTTACATTTGAAAAAGACTGTAGGATTCAAAACTGTTCTTAAAAAAGTAAAAAATTTACACTGAAACTTTACCATTGCGCCTATGAAACTTACCCCTCCAATACTGCACAGTAATTGGTCTTCCATACAAACGGATTCCATCCAGCAGAGCTTTTGCATATGGCACTGATACTTTGTGTTTAAAGCAGACATATCCAAAAGACTTAGGTTTTCCTTCTTTGTCCTCACAAATCATCACTTTGGTTAATGGTCCAGCCTGATAGAAATTTCAATTATTTAGCACAGATTGACACTTCATTGTGTTTTGAGTATTTCATTATGATTTCCCTTTTGCCATAGTCAGAAACAAAAAAAAAATGTCTCTCCACTCCTCAAAGTTCAAATTCTGAGCTTTCTACAAACAAAAATCAGCTTCATAAATGTTAAAATGTTCATGTTCAGTCTTTCAATCAGAATTGCTGTTATTTTTAGAATACCATACCATAATAAATAGCTTCCCAACTAATTTTSTAACTCCATTGCAAAAGTTACCTTCTAGTTCATAAATAAAAAATATTAATAGTTTAGAAGAGCAATAGATACTGGCTCATCATTTGATGAGGGAAGAGCTAGAGGTCAGGGGTACATGTTTAGGAYTATGCCATAGCAGAAATATTGAACTGGATACTTTCCAAGACAGAATGAGAAGCATAGGCTGTTGCAGCAAAAGGGAAACCTGAGTAAACAAGATAAAACAAGGGAAACCACAAGTTACTGGGATGACCTAAAAATCTAGACAAAAACTGGCAGTTGGAAGGCTGCTGCAGATTTTGCAGTAGAATGATGCAAAACTGTGTTCTAAGACCATCTTTGTCACTTCTGCMTTTTGTATTGTGTTACTCATGTCCTCTAGGAAGATAAACTTAACCTCACATTGACAGTTATACAGCAGATTACTATTCAGTCTTGAAAACAGGTATGAATTAAGCTCAGGCTTGAAACAGGTCCGACTACTTCGTTTTTCCACACTATCACTGAAGGGTCGGGGTTTGAAGCGACCTCTGGAGAGCATGTTGTCCAATTGACTAACTGAACATCCCATTGATGGAATTTTTCCTCTCAAGCATAAAAACAGCATTTCGATATATGAAGGTACCCATCCGCTACCTGAAGGAAGAGCTCGTAGAGGATCTCCTCCCTGACCCGGCTCTCCAAGTTCCCCACGAGCAGAGTCTGCTCCGCCGCCTCGGCCCGGCCCGGCGACGCCATGGAGCCTGCAAGAACACTGAGGAACACTGAGGAACACTGAGGAACACTGAGGAACACTGAGGAACACTGAGGAACACGGCGAGAGTGCGAGCAGAGCGCTCCGGGGCTCCTGGTGAGGGGCCGGGCGCGCCTCCCGGCAACGCTGGAACGTGGGCTGAGGGTGTCGCGCCTGTTTGTGACACCACACCCAACATCTGTTTGTGACACTGTACTTAATCGTTCAGTGTGTAGTAATGATGCTAAATATGAACATGAAGGGGTTTTCTTCTATTTTTGCCACTGATTCTTAAGTCGTGGTGGGACTGACTGGTGCAAAACAAACAGGCCAACCCTGAAAAACAATCCACTTCCCCAAACTAGTATTCACAAGTGTGTTCACACGATCCACTCCTGCCATTAACATTKCAATGAGTCCTTCCTGTAGAAGAGGCTGCAAACAGAGAGAGAGCTCAGGTCAGGTGCAAAGAGAGAGTTTTATCAGATGGAACTCCATGCCAGCCATACAGAAAACCTGGTTTTGCACTACATCACAGTGTTGACTTGAACAGCAGAAGTGATTTTATACCATGGACCATCAGCATAACAGACTGACTAATCTCTGCAATAAACTGCTGAAATTGTCCAGTCACAGCTGGGCAAATGAACAGAGAGAGACTTTTGCTCCTGCYGAGCTTCCAATGGCAGCAGTGTACCCAAAGCCCAGCTGCAGGAGCAGCCCCTGGGCAGGGGAGCACTGAGCTCATGGCACAATGAGAATTCTCGATCCAAGCTTTTTTTTTTTTTTTCTGTAGAAACACCAGATCAACCACTAACATCACCAGTCACACACTTGCTGTTGTGAACACCAGTCAGTCAGCATTCCTGAGCATGTCTTTGGTTCTCCATCATGATGGCACACTGAGCCCCTCAGACAATTTGGCACAAMGCATCAGGTGTCTCTGGCTCCCACTAATCTGCAAACACTGCGCAAGGGCATCAGCTGAGGTGAAAGGAGGCCCACCTGCACCTCCACATCCCCCTGCTTGACAGAACTGGGGCTGGGCTGAGAACTGCTCTGACCACAGAGCCAGCAGGAAGTCTCCAGCATAAAGGGGCACAGGCAGCAGGATAACAACTCCGCTGGAGCTTCTTCTGGCAAGCTGGGCTTGAGTTGTGCAACAGTGAAAAATTAAGAGCAATGATTTGCAGAGCAGGCTGCATTGCTGAGTGCTACCAGAGCCCAAGAGCTTGTCAGACAGAATATGTCACCTCTGTGGATCAAAGTAAAARAGTTTTATATCATGGGTTGCCTCAGGGAATAAATGAGAATTGAGCACATGAAATGCAGASCATGAACTCAATACCTGGGTGTGTTGGAGATGAATGCAATTATTGATGCATTACTGATACTTAACCAAAAGCATTAACCTGCCAGAGGAGTGAGGCTGTTCATCTCTGGGAGTCTGCACTACAGGGAGGAGTTTGAACCTTTTAACTTTACCAGCATTCCCAAAGTCATGAACTTTGCATGGAATCAGTTACACTCCTATTCAAGTATAACTTTATTCCCCCACAGAAAAAAGGGGAGGAAAAGCAGTACAAGATACTTCACAATACTGTGATTATTTTCTCACAGACCATTGTTAATCTTTGTATCCATAAACAAGTATCAAATTTACCTCAAAAGAAAACAAAATACCAGTAAAACCTTAATGCAACAGTCTTCATTTTCCTCAGATGGCTTTGGAAGGGTCATACTTCTGTATTCTGCATCTCAAGGCACAACATTTTCGAATGAAGGCTCAGACCACCAGACCCTAATTTTACCAGCAGACAAGTTCCTCAGAGCATTCTCTCATCAGGAAATATAGTCAGTGAGCATATTTCAACTCATGGCTCAGGTCCATTCATTACCAGTCACTGAGGAAATTAACTTCAAAATAACATGCAACCATTCTAAAATCACTTCTGCATAAACCCATCCATCTCTAAGATTATGACCATCATTGAGCCAGAGAGAGCAGAATGACAGGACTGAAGCAGAGCAATGGGTTAAAAAAAAAAAAAAAAAAAAAAAAAAAAAAAGAAAGAAAGAAAGCAACAGAGCAACAAGAAAAAACAGGAGGAAGAACAGACTGATACAGAAACCAGGTGAGGGACAAGGAGAAAGTGGGATACTGTGAAAGTGAGAAGGACAAGAGAGCAGGAYGCTGAGATAGAGATAACGAGAGCAACAGAGAATGACACAAATATGAGAAACAAGAAAAAAATGGCCAGAGAGGTGAAGTAATAAATATTAGGGTCAGAAAACTGCAAAAGGATCAGAGGGAGTAATAAATGAACAGGAAAGTGAAAAGGGACAATGAAGATTCTGAGAACTGAAAAAACAGCAACAGTTAGCAAGTCAAAAGGACAGAGAGAGAAACAAAAGGAAAAAAAGAAATAGACATGAAGGCAGGGACATACTGCAATACACAGAGGTACGAAGAGAGAAGAAACCACCAAAGAACAGGCCAGAGAAATTGTGAGRGAAAAAGAGGCAGATACAACTCTGAACAAAGTGATGCAAAAGGAAAAAACAGCTATAAGCCGCAGAAGAGAGGCAGAGGTTGAAAAACAGAGAGAGAACTGGTGTGGGACAGAAGCAGAGAGAAAAAAGAAAGGATGTGTGGGAAGAGGAAGCAAGACAAAATAGAGACAAGTGGAGAGCTACAGAAAAGCAAAAGAAAGTATGGGAGAAAATGGGGGCCAGGAGGGAAACAAGGAGGCCCTGAGACACACAAGAGGGGACACAGGGCCCAAGGGACCTTGGACTCATCTCAGCTCTGATGCTAGACTCAGCTCAGCACCGCCAGGAAAATTTTTCTTACACAGAGAGGCAGGGTCTCACTTGCCTGCTGAGGGTGGTGGGTATCAGCCAGATGGGCTCCATTTTTTTATTTCCTTGCCCTTTTTATGACCTCTCTAGTCTCTGCCACAGAAGCTCTTGTCGGAGCCAATGCTCATSCTGTCCCTCTTTAACCCGCGCCCTGGAGGGAGCAAGGCCGATACTAACGACCTAGGCAAACCCGAGGTGGGCRCAGTCATTGGCATCCCCAGGGGATGCTTCGGGAAGAATGGACACTTGCATCCTCAGCGCGGCCTCTGGCAGATGGCAAGAAGCAGCAGCGACTGTTATTGCTGTAGATCCCTCGGAAGAATCCCTCCTTCTGCAGGGGCTTCTGGGGACACCTCAACGGACAACCTGGAGCTGTCACGACAGGGCTGGGGGCGGCCAGGAGACACAGGGGGTTTCAGGGGCGATGCTGGAGCTGGCGCAGCGGCACAGGGCCCTCAGGTTGGGGCTCAGGGGTGCTCTGGCGACAGCCCCAGGGAGGCGCCCAGCTCCTGCCCGGGAGTGTGACCGCTCCCACCCGGGAGCCGCGGCGGGTGGGCGGCAGCTTCTCCCCCGCCGCCCCGAGGTGGCACCTGCGCACCCGCAGAGGCTCAGTCATCTCACCGGTGCCGCGACTTCATCCCTCATACGCCCCCGCGCCCGGTGCTCCGCCACGCCGCTCCCGAGCACCGCACGGGCAGCAGGGCCGGCGTGCCCCGAGGGGCACTCAAACGCCTGGCGGCAGTGGCGGCAGCAGCGCTCCGGCGGCACCGGAGTCGCATTTCCGCGCTTTGCAGTCCAAGCGCCGCTCTGATGGTGCCCGTGCGACAGCAGCGGCGTGTCCTTACAGGGAGCCACCGCAGCCCCGCCACGCGCATGTGCGTTTAGCTGCTGATCCGCTGTTCGGCGCTTTGGCCAGCGGGGGGCAGAAGAGAGACACCTTTCCGGTCAAGACGCATGCGCCGCTTTCTTGACTGCCAGTAACAGCTGCTCACCAGAAGGTGGCAGCCACGAGCACAGCTCGGCGGGGTCCCTGCGGGACCGCCTGCGCGGAGCAGAGGGAAGGGAAAAGGACACAGAGGCGGAGAGATGCACGGGAAACGCGTGGAGATGACATATACCAGATCCACCCGGAATAATGCTCAGTAGACAATCAATTTGGGATAATACACAGTGGATAATCCACAGCAATGCCCACCCCCAAACTGCAAACATTTCACCCAGTATTTTCCAATAGGTAGTTTCGTTGCCATTTTGTTTGGGTGGGTTTTTTTTGTTTGTGTTTTTTTTTTTTTTTTTTTTTGCTAATATAAAAATTAGCTTTACTTTCGTAGATATTGAATTTTGGCAACTTTCCGGAGCTTTTCCACAACATAAAAACTAAGTGATTTCTGCTTACAGCTTTGTGCATAAAAATGTGGTTTTAGCTTTCTGGCCACTCATGTCTGTGCATCACAAGACATCCCAAGCACCAGTGCCTGCTGCCAGCACCATGAAAGCTCTCATCCAGGAGATACTGCTACTCTGAGCCTGCAGAGCATCCAGAGGGAGCAGCATAGGGACACTTGAGGGATGGGAGCATGGGCAGTGCCACAGGCATTCAGTTTTACTGAGTAATGTCAGAATACAGCTGGCTGCAGACACTTCATGAAGCTCGACTACATTTCAACATTGACACCTGATGAAGCCAATGAAAGATGAAGATTTTTCCAACTGTGCACATCTGTGCCGCATCCATCTTGAAACACAGGTGTTCACAAGGCAGATGCTGGCAGACAGCGGGAGGGCCCTTAGGGCTCCTCTTCCCCAGGCTGAGCAGAGATTGTGAACAGGGGTTGTGTACTCAGCCTCTTCAATGCTTCCATCACTCCAGCTCCTCCACTAGCATTGCTCCACTGGCTGTACTCACCTGAACCTGGCGCCCCAGTGTGCACACCAAGCCCAGCCACAGCCTCCTTGTTCCCTACAGTGTCTCCTGTGCCCTTGCTGGCACAGCCCAGTCATGGGACTCCCCTTGCTGACCAGGCACCCTGCCCACACCTTGCCCCCCMGGGCCATTTCCACAGCCACAGCTGGTGCCCAGCTCTGTGGCTCCTCCAGGGCACCAGCCCATTGTCAGGCAGGTGCTCAGTGTCCCCARTAGCCCATTCCCCTCTCACCTTGCCCCCACTGTCAGTGTAATCACTTCTATCCTCCGCTTCCACAAAAAAAGACACTGAAGAACAACCCCTGAGGGATCTCTCCAGTATGTGGCCACCAGCCAGKCTTGGACACTGAGTGCCAGTACCCTTGAAGCCAACACAGCCAGGGCAATCCCTCCAGTTATCTGGCACCACTGGCTAGAGGAAAGCCCAGCTAGCTCTCCCCAGACCCCTACTCCTGCATATCCAGGAGCACTGGTACCAATACCTTCCCACTCACAGAGCAGTCTGACAGCTCTCCCACCCTTCCTCCTTGCCTTTCTGGAACACAGCTGCGGCAGTTACTCAGATTGATGGGACTCTCCCCAGAGAAGCAAGACATTCTGAAGAGCAGGGCCCGGCACTGGCAGCATGGCACCCCCCTACCCCCACGATGCTCCCCAGCCAGTCAGAGCCATGCAGTAAACAGTTTAATGAACACACTGACAGCACCAGAGCCAGCCTGAGCTGGACTTTATCCACTGCTCTGCTTGGCTGCCAGTCTCTTGTCTCTCTCTTCAGCAATGGTCAGGCGGATGCCCTTCCCACGGGGCAATGAGATCCATGGCTTATTGCCCTGCAGCAACAGAGAAAAAAAGCACTTCACACCAGAAAACCCAGACAGCAACAGAGCTCTCCCTCTAAGGGGAAAAGMAGCAGAAGCCCACCCCTGCTCATGCTGAGCTAGGTACACACGGTGGTGGCACTAGCCCAGCAGAGGTCCCTAAGGAAAGTGCCAAGAATGCACGAGTCTACAGCTGCCTTTCAGTCACATTCATGAAGAATGAGCTTCAGCCAAAACCACATCACCTTCAACCCGGACGAAAAGCTCATCAGGGATGGCAAAACTTTGGGGGGCGCACTCTGAGTCAGAGCAGCTGCCCAAGCAATGCTCAGCCCACAGCTCTCAGGTTTTAGGGCTGTTTCTTGAAAACRTCTGCATTCCTAAATTTACAAATGCTTCTTCCCTTTCCCAGAGCAGGCAGAAATACAGAGAGCAGAGTCAGAACTGAGGCAAACACTTAAGCTCCACTGTGCAGGAAGACAGCTGCCTAAGGGAACACCAAGGCTCTGCCTCAGCCAGCAGCTTCTCAMAAGAGGAGAGAACCCCCCACGTGGTGCCCCCATAGCCTTACTTTGCCAATAACAAAGATGTTGGAGAGCCTGGTGGCAAAGCTGTTGCCGTTGGCATCCTTCACATGAACCACATCGAACGACCCAGGGTGCCTCTCCCGGTTGGTGATCACCCCAATACGGCCCAAGTTGGCACCGCCGGTCACCATGCACAGGTTACCTGGGTAAGGGAATGTAAGTGTGAGAAGAACTGGACCAGGTGCTGTGGCGAAGTCCGTCCACTTGGGTGCTTTGTCCGTATCAAACGTTCCCCACCTCCCCAATTGTGTCAGCAAGGAGGGATTCCCATCCCCCCCYGTGCTAGCACTGCTAACAGCTCTGTCACTGAAACTTTCTCTCACCACCAAGAGACTAGCTCCAGTACCTCCCCACCAGCTCGCTGCTTCTACCTGGTGCCTCAGAACTGCTAAGTCCCTATGCCAAATGCTTCCCACTGCCAGGATACAGGAAATCCCCTCCTCAGTTCCAGATGGACATGCTCCTGAAAARCAAACCCTTTTCCAAGGTTGACACCACTGCCTATTTCAATGCAAAAATACCTAGCATTTAACTTCCAATCTGCTCTCCACAGTGGAGAAGGATACTGTGCTTCAGTGGGATGCAAGACCTACCTGTGTCAAACTTGATGAAGTCTGTGATCTTGCCTGTCTCGAGGTCAATTTGGACTGTATCATTCACCTTGATGAGGGGGTCTGGATACCGGATAGTGCGGGCATCATGAGTGACCAAGTGAGGGATTCCTTTGGTGCCCACAAAGATCTTCCTTACCTTGCACAGCTTGTACTGCAAACAAAATCCAACACCTCTCAGCTGAGGGAATGAGCAATGCCATGGACTCTTGTACCCCAGAGTCCCGAGCCACAGCAGATTACCCAGACACCCAGGACTCACAACATGAGCCCAGGCAGTGACTTGCCCAGCCCCCTGGCTCCATGATGATTTTCATGGAAGCTGCTATGCAGCTCTGCTACAGTTCCCCTACAGGAAACACCTTTCTGCAGGAGCAGTAGACCACCTTGGGATTCAGCCTCCCCACAAACACTGGCTTCGCTCCCAAGAAAGTCTTTAGCACAGCAGTTCCTTTATTTTTCCCTGAAGACCACAGGTATACAACATGGAAGAGACTGCATTTCTCCAAGACCCAAGAGAGACGTGTACCCTCCCGGGCACTGATATCCCTTCTGCCTGTCACCTAACTCCCTCACAGCCTCTCTGGACCGCACAGATCAACAGAGTAATAGCCAGAGAAGCACATTACAAGGGGATCAGAAGCCCCAAACCACAACACAGCTGTCTCCAGCACATAGCCAYGCACCTGTACAGCCTGCCCTAAGAAAGGACATGCAAAGCAGAGGGCAACCTTGTAGCTCAGGCTTGACATGCCYGGTTAAGGAAAAACACAAGGAAATTGCTTCCCCAGCATCCAGGGTGAAAAGGCAGTTACGTTGATCTGGAAAGTTCAAGGTTTTTACACCACAGGCAGTTTCTGATTACTGTTAGCTGGCAAAGCCAAGATTCTCCTCCACCCCAAAGACCCCTGATCCAGCTCATGCCAACAGCATCATCTACAGCACCACCTACAGCACAATGCAGCTGCACCCATATGTGACCTATTTTCATGTCACCAAGAGAYCTTCCCTCGACACAAACTTCACCACAACCCTGAACGTCCCACTCTCAGATGCAGCATCATCTCAACTGTCAGGGAAGAGAGACAACAGCTCTCATCCAGGAGATACCAAAGTGGAAACACTGCCCCAACTAAACCCAACTGGGCCCATGYTTTCACAACACTGTAGTTCCTCACCTTGGCCTCCTCAAGTGTGATGCGGTGAACAGCAAACCGGCCCTTGGTATCATACACCAGGCGGAAATGCTCGTCTGTCTTGTCAATGCTGATGACATCTGATTGTAGACARGAAAATACAACAGTAGCTGTTATCAGCTCATTACCCAAAACCCTAACTTGGCATCAAGCTCACATTTAAAGAGAACCAGGGACTGCTGAAAAATCACACTTAGGGTGTGATTGATGAGGTTGGGATCTACCCTTGACCACAGGCTCACATCTTTTCCTGTGACAGACTGCAAATCAGCAAAAAATGCTGAAAGCTGGAATCTGAACAGCAACTTACCCAAATCAAGGAGGCACTTACCRGCTACAGGTATCTGGCTTTGGTATTCACTGCAGTGCGCAATGCCAAACTGAATTAACAACTGCTTATATGTATCTTTTCTTCAATTCTGGCAGGGAAACCTTGCCTCTTAAATAATGCCAGCCCCACAAATCACTCCCCTGCCAGTGTAGCAGAGCTGCCTAAGAAACGACCTCAACCCCCTACTCACCCATGAAGCCTGCAGGGTAGGTGATGTCGGTGCGGACTTTGCCATCTATTTTGATGAATCTCTGCATGCAGATCTTCTTGACCTCATCTCCTGTCAGAGCATACTTCAGCCGGTTGCGCAGGAAGATGATGAGGGGAAGGCACTCCCTCAGCTTGTGTGGGCCTGTTGATGGGCGGGGTGCCTGTGGACAGAAGGTTTCTGCTGGGGGATCAAGCAGCATCAACTACCCCAGAGAAGGAAACTATGGTGCCAACTGCTCATGCAACAGCACGCAAAGGCAGCARCACAAAGTGCAGCTGCCACAGCCAGCGACCAGATGCAGCTCTTTGTTCTTGGTGTTCATAGCAGTTTCCCCCATGCCTTGCCAGTCTCACGAAACTGCCCCTGACACAGCACAGCCATCCATCTCAGCCCAGTGGTGGAAAAGCAGGTTAAAAGGGAGCAGCCAACGACTCCGTCACATCCTCTGCAAACGCTGAGTGGGGAGAACACGAATGCTTTTCACAAAGACCCTAACATTAAACAAACACTGTTCACCACTCGCCCCCGCGCAACACCCGAACACTTTCCCTGATGTGACCGCGGCAGCTACGAGCAGCCCGGCCCCGCCCCCACCTCCGACCCTGGCCTCAACCCCAACCCAGGCCCGCACTCACAAAGACGCCCGTCAGCTTGTCCAGCATCCAGTGCTTGGGAGCAGCCACGCGCTTCAGATGCTTCTTGGGGCCGCGGGCCTACAGAACGGGACGTGTTAAGGGATGTTTTATGGGCCTTCGCTAGGCCCGTGCCCCAAGACATCTCTCCCCGGACCCCTCCGACTCCCGCCCCTCACACCCTAGCGCCGGGCTCCCTCCCGCGCCTCTCGCCCCGGGGTGGGGCGGCCACAGCCCGCGGTGAGCGGGGGATGGCAGTGGATGGCGCGGGGAGCGGCGGCGCCGCGCTCTCACCATGGCTGCGCTCTGCCGAGAAAGGGCGGGCGTTTCCGGCCGGCCGCGGATGGACAATGCAGGGTAGCAGCGACATGTGTCGCCCCCTGGCGGCTTGGAGGCCTACGAGGTGACAAGGGACTCGAGAGGGATTGTTCCCTTCCTCGCGGCCCCTCCTAGYGGGGCCACTGTGCCCGTAGTCATCGCTGATCGTCGCTGATGTCATAGGACAGCCCGCCACGTCGTGCCCCTGCGGTTTGAAAGTGTGCGTGAATGTCGGGAGCCGAGCCAGGGGAAAATCTGAGCGGGGACGCTCTGCCACGACTCCTCCCGGGGTAGAGCTGAGACGGCACGCAGCTCCCAAGCCTGACGCCGGGCCTTAGCGCCCACTCCTAAAGGCAGTTTGGCGGCCAGGTTGCCCCAGCTGCGCTTTCCGGAGAGGCCGACRTGTCCCCACCGTGCTCCGGAGTCCCCAGGGCAGTTCCAGGCCCACGCAGCCTGCCAGGCAGCCCAATGAGTGCAACAGCCCACCCAGCACATCCCCAGAGCAGGGCTCCCTCAGCAGTGTGGCTGGAAGGTACTCCCGAGAGTGACACTGTCACCGAAAACGTCGGGATAAATGACACTAACGCTGTTTTTAGATTAGAGAGCAGCATTACTTTATTCACAGTGCTGACTGCATAGGGGCAGTTCCACCTGTGATGCATGCACACTTWCAAAACTTCACTATTTATACACTTTAGCAAAGAAATTAATGAGCATTGGCTATAAAGTACATAATTCTCTTCATTAATGAGTGTTTTATCTTCTATTGGTTATTGATTTCTTGCTTCTCATGCTAATTAGTCTACATTTTCAATTAGTCTACTACATTTCAGTCTTGTTACTATCTTACTATCTTTTTCCCAGATAAGACAATTGTTGAATTGTCTTTGCTAGTTTCTTTTTTATCTCTGGGTTCCACAAAATGTCCTTGCAGTCTAGAAATTCTGCATTCCTTGTGTCTAGTTTCAGCAATRTATCTCTCCCATCCTTTGATGAAGCATATCAAGGTTAGTTTAGCAAAACATAATTTTTGAGCTGTGTTCCTACAATAGCAGCTTATGACAAACCTTACTAAATGCTTGGCTACAGTGGAAAATTAATTTTAATTACAACATTTACTAGAAAAGTTATACAATTTTCAACAATAGGATGGAAATACCATAAGCCGAAAAAACGCACTGGAGCTGCAGGGCGCCRACCCGTCTTCCACCCAGGGCCGCTTCACACCAAGACCTGGACAAGGAAGGGAGCACAGCCAGCGGAACAACAGTCTTTCCAGATTTTATTACACGGCAGCTTGAGACCTCCGCCTGCCGGACCCGCCGCGACGCCTGTCCGTTTTGGGGTACGCAGCATGGTCCCAGCTCCCCCTCCCGCCTCTTCCCACTCTTGTTCGGGTTCCGAGCATTCTCTGCGACCGCTGCGCTGGCACGTGGAGCAGCCGGCATACGGCTGTGCGGTGGGGTGAGGTGGGAGCCTCCCRCCCCAGCAGCTCTCCAGCCTCAGTAGCCGGCCGGCAGATCCGAGGGTGAGTCGAACTCGTGGTGACCGAGCCAGAGCTCCGGCAGTTCATCCGCCCTGTCGAGACCAAGCTCCAGCACCARCGTCCTGAGTACCTTGTCCACCGGGTTCGACTCGATGAGGTCGGGGCCGGCGGCCTGGAGGGTGCGGCCCCCCACGCAGCCACGTGAGGTACAGTTATAAACTTAATTAAATGTTGCTAACTGTTATTCTTTTGATAGGTTTTTAAACATGTTATAAGCTAAGTGCTGCTAATTGTTATTCTGCTGCTGAGTTGCTTATTTTGAAGTTGTAAATTAGCTTAACCGCTGTTAAGTGTTACTCCGGTTAGATTATAAAAGTTGAGCAATTAATTAAGTTGTAASTTAGGTATAAGTTTAGTGGTTTTTCTAGGTTAAATTTTTAGGCTTAAGGTATAAATTATTGCTGAGTGTTAAGTTTGCAGGCTGTGTTCCTTTTTATCTTTTCCCGCACTTTTCACACACACGCCCACGCCCACACCCACACCCACACACAACTGTAGATAGTTCTCATTTCATTTCTGTTTTGATTGCCTAGATTTTGTTTGGTTTTGTTGTTGGCTTGCTTTCTCTTGTTGTGCYTTAGCTGTCCTGTAAGTAGTAGAGTGAATCTTTCCAACAAACTTGTTGTCCTTTGTSGGTTAATATTAAATCTGAGTTTTGCTCATACTCTTGACAGTGATTTTTTAAGCAATCTCAAACACTCTCATTCGTAACATTACCTCAGCTTTGACAGCTGTCTGGGAGTGGGCAACCTGCTAAGTTTAGGGTGCCATATCCTGACAGTCCCATCCCCAAGTGCAGGTCTCCCTGAACCCCACCTAAAGCCGCAACAATTGATACTTGTGGGGTTTCCTATTGCTTGTTTTCCCAGCTGTGTTCCTGAAACAGCTCCCACTGCTCATAGGGCAGTCTGCGTGGTGTGGGGACAGAGYATATGGGGCCCTGGGGAGTCCTCTCTTTCTCCATGGTTGGACAGTCCCCAAGCCTGACACCTCCCCTGGGCACTGGGATCCTTTGCTGCAGTGGTGGCAGCATCAACCTCCTGCCAGCAGTCACCATACAAGATTGGTCCCTCCCATCCCCACCATACCACACCAGAGCAGGCACCAGGGGTACATGGAAGCAGACAAGGGGTCTGGAGTCATGAGAGCCACATTCTGCTGAACTATTTCCACACCAGATTTCCTGTTGTTTCAATCACCAGTGAAAAACAAGAGAGCAAAACAAAGTTAAGGCCAGGCTGGGAGCTCCTTCGTCTTCCTGTTTATTCCAGCATAATCTAATCAAAGCCAGAGGAAATATGCTTTCCCACAGTGACAAGACATCTTTAAAAAACCCAGCACAATAAAAACTCCATAGGCCAGGAGAATGAGGGGACAAGGGCAGCAGAGGCCAGGGGGTCCATGGCCCATGGCACTGGGAGAGATCTAACCCAGATACCTGCATATCTGTTCCCTTGCTGAGACACCTCATGGCAGCTCTCATGGACCACCAGAGCATCTGGAAGTTCATCTAAGATCTAGCAGGACCGGAACAGTCAGAATGACCTTCATCTCCCTTGACACTCTTGAGAGGCTCCCCAGGGTCTGGCCCCTCTGCGTGTGATTTCAAGAACTCACATATGGCCCTGCAGTGGGGGGTGCTGTGGAAAAGAGCACTGGCAAGGCAGGGTGGGTGGAACAAAAAAGGAAAGGGCTGGAGGAATATTTAAAACATTTTATTTTTTAAAAATTCCCAGTTAAAACACAATGGCTGTGCCTTTCTGTGGCTAAGAGACAGGCCCCAGGGTAGCCCTCAGCTCTACTTCCCGTGTGGGCAGCTCTGAGGCTTCGCCAGGAAGGTAACGCAGTGCTGGGCTACGGCTGGGAAATGCTCACAGCTCTGAGCAGCCCCTCTCTTAAAAAACATTTAAAACCACTTGTGAGAACAAACTGTGGTGTTAAAGGAAAGAGAAAGGAGCAAGGGAGGCTCTGCCAGTACTGGAAGGTTGTGGCTGGAGGGCCCACACTCCTKCCTGGGGAGAGCCACAGTGCTCGTGGCACGAAGCAGCTTTTCTTCTTTAAAGAGAAAAACATTAACCAACCAACAGTAATTTCTTCCAAATTTTCCCTGCAGCCACAAATTTCACCAGTTGTTCACATAAATATGCTGTCTTCCCCATAGGAAATGCTTTTGCCTGAGCCTTCCTTTTCTGCTAAACAACGTGCTTCAGATTCCCTGCAAATAAAAGGAAGCAGAAAAGGGTATTTCCACTGTTATTTTAGCCTGATGAGTGACCTGGCAAGGGGTGCCACTCCCATGCCTGATGGATTAGGCCACGATGTGGGAATTCCAGCCTCAGCACAGATCTCCRTTCCTTCTGACTCCTCGCTCCCTTTGCAGAGGCTGCTGCCCTCATCCAAGCCAGGCTTTGGAAATTACCACAGGGGAACCATGCCACTGCTTCTGCCATGCTGAATGCTGGTTTGGGATTCGTGGACCGGCATCTCAGAGGCACATGCTGACTCCCTGCTATTTTGTCCTTCTTTCAGGCTGGATTCACAGGAGTGCACAGCCCTCCTTTCCAGCTCTGGAGCGATCCTCCTACCCCCTTGGACAGGCCCCCAGGGAGTGAATGTCCCCTCCCTAGGTAAGGCCTGTGCTTGGAAATGGACACTTGAAGGCATCCATGGCCATTGTACCTCCTACCCTACTTCTAATACCAGCCCATGGCAACACACAGAGAGGGAAAAGAGATGCCAAGCCCCATCTTGTTGGTCCCAGCCCCTCTGGCAGACAGGGACAAGACAGATGGGCAAGGGCATTGGATGAGATAGGCTGAAGCTGGCACGGCTCACCCAGCTGCCTGTCCTGGACTTGTAGAGCTTCAAGTCCTGCCTGCTAGAGACCTGTCCCAGTTCCAGAGAGCTATTTCCCACAGTCTCCTCCTGGACCAGCTGGAAAGATGCAGATTGGGTGGGTGATCTGCAAAGGGAGTAGGGAGAGAGCTGGCTCACAGGGAGCTCACAGAGGGTGGTGATCAATGGTTTTTACATGGTCTTGCAGCCTGCAAGGTCCCCCAGGGACTGATACTGGGCTCCACATTGCTTAACATCATAAATGACCTGGATAATGAGATTGAAAACAATCACAACACCAAACTAGGTGCTGAGGTGAACATGTCAGAAAGGAGAGCCATCTTAGAGGGCTGTACAGGCTGGGAGACTGGGCTAAAAAGAACAGACTTAGGTTTAACAAAGACAAAAGCRAGGTCCTGCATTTGGGATAGAAGGTGCCCAGTTCAGGCCAGGATCTGCATGACTGGSAAGGAGCCCTGTGGAAAGGGACCTGGCAGTCCTGATAGGCAGCAACCTGAACATGATTCAGCAGTGTGCTGCTGCAGCAAGGAAGCAAACTGGATCCTGGTCAGCATCTGTAGGAGCATTACTATGAGAGACAGAAACAGGATCATCTCATTCCAGGTGCAGCTGACAAGAAACAAGTCCATGTCCAGTTCTGATCCCCGCAAAGACATGGACAGAGCAGAGAGCATCCAAAGGAGGACCACAAAGGTGATCAAAGGCTGTCTAAGGAGGAAAGACTTTTTCTGTGGAGGAGAAAGCTTAGAAGGGACCCCATCACAGTAGCCTCATACTTGAGGGTTGGCTTCAGAGAGGACAGACGCTCTCTCTTCACAAGGAGCCACATAGAGAGGACAAGGGACAACAGGTGTGAGTTGCACCATGACAGGTTTCACCTTATTTTAAGTTGTTTATTTTTACGATGAGAACAATCAATCACTGGAGGAAACTCTCCAGGGATGTAGTAGAGACCCCACCATTAGTTTTCAGGATGTGACTGGACAGGGTGCTGGATAATCTTGTCTATGCTCTCTTTCACATGAAAGGTTGGACCAGATGATCTTTGAAGTCCCTTGGAACCTGGGCTGTTCTATGATTCCAATAAGGACAAGGCCCCATGCTCCCATGCCCAGCCACAGGAAAGGCAATGGCAACTTTTGCTACAAGGACCCATAAGTCCATAACCAACCCTGAAAATCCCAAGGGATGTGGGAGGCAAATGACACTGTGCACTAATGAGCAGCCACAGGAATATGGTTCATCTTTCTAGTCAACGAAAAAGACTCCAATGAGCTCTTCTGAAGCCCTCTCTAAAAAGACCTGTAAGYCTGAAGCAGGAGTGTTGTCTTGGACAACTCACCTTTGATAGAATTCAGAATTTCTTGAATTCTCTGCGGCTCGTTGCGGTCCGGTCTGCAGCTTGGTGTGATCTCCAGCACATAATCAGGACCGTACTCTGTGAAGAACTGCAGAGAACAGGAGAGGAGGGTCAGCAGAGAGGTCTCTGAAGGCTGAGGCTAGAGGGAGAGCTCCCCAAGGGTACCTGTTTTTAAAAAGACAAAAAAGCATTTGTCCATCTAAGGGCCTAGTGTGCTTAGTGGGCAGAAGGCCTCAGCCAGGGTTAACTTACAAGATGGATCCTGAGTACTGTGTGACTAACACCATCAGTATTATTTAATTAAAAATACACGACAAAGACGCTTATGCTAGCTCTTTATAACCTTGCATAGTTATCTGCAAGAAATGTATCATTTTAAAAAACTGACATGAATAGAGGCTTGTTTGTAGGGTAATTTAGGGGAAAACTCTCCCAGCCAAGAACTGGGCTCTGGCTAAGCCCTGGTCCTGGCTAGTTGGGAAGTGTGCCATCAGATCCAGGAGTTTCTGTTCTAAAAATATACAGTCAAGTCACTTAACTTGCTGATTTGGGCCTATAAAAGCTGGACCCACTTTTGAGGCAAATTTGGAGACCTCACCTATGAGTGGACACATCACGTAGGATTTTCCCAATTGCTAGAAAGGGTTCTCCAGGTCCTTGCTGCAAGACAGGGCTCCCCAATGACTGTGGACTCTGGATGATGGTAAAGTATTTAGGCAATTGATGATGTATCTTTCTCAATCACTGTCCTTTTGCTCATACAATAAYGACTAGGTGCATTACCTTGCTTATTTTTGCTTGTTGCTAAAGCCAAGAGCATAGTTTTATCAGGTGTATCATTTTGTTTTTGTGTTGCCTTAATATTCATAGTAAAATAGGACCATTCTTTCCCTTGGTGTCTGTGTTCTTTACACCGTCCCCATCAACTGGCAGAACAGGGCCACATGTAGCTTTGCTACATCAAGGTGTATTTCAGCAGTGCCTATGCCAACCTGGAGTTTTCTACCATTTCCCAGTTCAAGGGATGAGAAGYAGAGCTCAGTGGTGCAGCCAAAAGCAGTCAAATGTCTATCCCAATACTTTATTTGGGAAAGCTGTTGACACTAATTTTACACATGGTTACCTGCAAATGGAATTTGTTTTATTTAGAAATTCCAAGTGCTGCCAATCACATATCCTTCCATTCACCTCCCACCTTGCTGRACAGTGCATGACATGATTGTGAAACACCTGGAGAGGAAAAAGCTGCTGCTGCAAGTATACTGTGTCTCTCCTGGCTAAATGCTCAGATAGTGTGCAGAAAATCTGCAGCACAAGGGCTTGACATGTTAACACAGAATCACAGATTATTGCCAGCTGTTGTGTCATGATTCTGGCCAGGACAGGGTCAGTTTTTGCAGCGGATRGGAAGAGGCATGGCCAGGACACAGAGGTTATTCTACACCACCTCATGTCATTGCTGAGGGCAAGGGAAAGGGAGTCTTTTCCAGACAGAAGGGATTCCTTCCAGTTGAAATAATGTGGCAGAGGGAGCTCAGCAGTGTTGTCAGAGGGTAAGGGGTGTTTCTGTGTGAATTGTTTCTTGTCTTGTTCCCTCTGTCATTATTGTTGTGGCTGTTCTCTCTCTTKCGTCATTGCTATTTCCAGTAAATTGTTTAATTCAACCCGTGATCTTTACTCTGTGTGCCTCCAATTGCAGGTGGCAGGGGGAGCAGTGCATGGTTTTAGCAGGAATACTAAATTGGAGAATACCATTCCTGAGACAATGTTAATTGATGCTCAGTATGGGGCACAAAGGGTTGAGATAATAACAGATCTGCCCACAGTGGGCTGGAAACAAATTTGATTTAAGCATTTGTTGATATTAGGTACAGAGCCCCTTAGCACAATGCTGCTTGGTCTGTTCTTGTGGGTGTGAGTTCATGTGAGCATGTATGTGCCCCCTGTGATATTATTTTTGAGAGCAGGGAGAGGGATCAGGATTGCTTTGCTGCCGTACTGTGTGATATCAGTTTATGAAATGATAACAAGGGCAATAAGGGTCATTTGGGATGGGTATTCAGTATTCCTCTCCTACCCCTACCTCAGGTGCTACCTTTGGTAGTCCATTAATAAGAGGACTCAGCCTGTGGGAGGAACAGGGGAGGGTGATTTTCCCCAACTCCTCACCCCCTTTTCCTCCTTCAGGCCTGTTACAACAGCTTTTGACAATTTTGAATTCCCTTTGGATGTTACAGATAGTATGTTCTTGTTACTATGTCTCTCATGTCTCCTCGTACAGTTTACGTTTAGTGCAATCCACACCATGTTTAGAGTCAGGACAGAGATTTCTAGGACAGTCATTCAGAGATCTGTCCTGAGGGTGGATAGTCTTGARTGACACAGAATGTGGGAGAAAATTGGCCAGTTTTTTTGGAAATTGTCTGCTCTAATGGTTTGCAAGCTGACTCCTGAACAACTACAGGACCCTGATAAAGTGACAGAATATTTGCAAGGAGAGTGCTGTGGCAACTCTGGAGARGAGCAACTTATTGAAGTGTGTTGGACCCTGGCTACTTTTACCAGACACTGCTGGTCACTAGACAGAACCCTCAGGGRGAGGAGGAGGAAAGAAGAGCAACAGGCACTGTGGCCACTCAAACTGCAGCTGAACCAGAGTAACRACTCRTGCTGGGASCAGTCACCCCTATACAGAAGAAATCCAAGGCCAAATCAGTTCGCTTAGTGAGGGAGAAAGAGGAAGCAGGGCCTTCAGAACAGGAAGAAGAGGGAAGGCCAGAGATAATCACCTGATCCTTATCCCCAGGTGAGCTGTGCAAAAAGATTTCAGCCACCAGTTGGATGAGGCCCTGGTGACCCAGCTGCTCTGATGCTGGGATAATGCAGCCCACAAAACGGAATTGGATGATAGTGAAGACCAACAACTCTTCCATGAGTTTCATCAACCAACTGGGATTTCCATGTCAAGGGTAAGAGATTCACCAGAGATTAATACAAATGCTAGGATGTAGCAGGAGTGGATGGAAATTGCTAAGAGAGGAGCTGGGAAGCAGACACTCACCAGCCCTCAGGTGCTCAGGCTGCATATGCCTTTTTCAAATTAGCAAGTGACAGCATTGTCCCAGCTGCCCCTTCTGGCCCCAAGCTCACACCCTTTTCATAGTTTCACTGGTCTATCATCTTTGGCYATTTTTCTCCCACTAACAAGTAAACAGATCCAGCTGGCAATGTTTCCAATAGATTATTCTTTTTCCATGAGTGACCAGATCCTGAAKGCCATGGATACAAGGAAGAGTCATTGATTTGAATAAAGCAGCCCCCAGGTGGCAGCCTCAATTGAAAGAGGAGGATCCATAAGAGCAGGATCAAACAATTTGGTCTGTGTGGAGAGGAGTCAGCTTGGTGACAGCATCTAAATTAAAGGCAACATTAGCTGCAGTGAAGACAAAACCTTCAACTGCTCACAATCAGCCATGGCTTCCAATTACTGCCACGGGAGTCTCCAGCTGGGAGGTCTAAACCCTGAGAGTTGGGTAAGAACAGCCTGGTACCCCTGGGGACATGGAGACAAAACCAAACTGAGAAACAATCAGAAAATYTGAGCATTTCCTGTGATGGAAATAATTTTGAAAGTGGAATTTTTCTTAAAGAAGTGGTGGAACCCCAACTGCTACGCCAGATAAAGCCTTCGAGCTTAAACAAAAGGGAACATTCCTGTACTGGCTTCCAGTTTACTTTGAGAGCTTTGGTATCTACAAGTTGGGAGTTTTTTCATGTATAGTTTTCATGAGAAAATTTTTGGAGCTACAACAAACCTAACCACTTTCTGCAGTTAATTCCTACAGAGGACAGGGTACATGTGGGACTTTTCACTTCCCACATATACCAGTCTTGTTTATAACYTGTTTCTGCAAAAATCTGGTTAAAGGATCACATTTAAGTATGACATCTGTCAAAAAGAATCTTGCATCTCTAATCACCAGTTTCTATAATGATGAATTTCCAGCCTCAATTCACACAAAAACTTTACTTCCCTATGTATATTGATCCATGAGATCCTTAGACATACATAAAACCTGAATTCTCATCTGTAGTCACTGTAGGCTTCAGTTACTCTGAAACTACAGGTTTGTTAAGAGTAGTGTTGGTAACACTGATCTACRGTTTGAGTCCTATTATAAACATGGCAGTGTTCAAGGCCAGGTTGGAAMGGGCTTGGAGCAGTCTGGTCTAGTGGGAGGTGTCCCTGCCCATGGCTGGGMGGTAGAACTAGATGGCCTTTAAGGTCCCTTCCAACCCAAACCCTTCTGTGTTTTGATGATTCCGACCTATAGTTATTCCACACAAATTCAGTCTAAATGATGTCCCTCCAAGAGGCTGTCCAGCCAAGCTCAAGACTTGAAAAACACCAGTATGGGCATGAAGACAGCATCTGGCCCTACAGCCAAAGCTTCAAAGTTGCACCTGGTCTCTTGTGTACATCAATGAAAGCAGGACAAAAATTTGAAGCCCTAAGAAAAGTAAAAAGCACATCCTAAAGTGCTCTTTGAGCAAACCAGTGACTCCTGCCCATCCTCTCTGCAACTACTGAGACCAGTTTATTGGCACGTGAGACCCCTCACAGAAAGCTGCAGACAGCTTTTGGTTTTGGGCACCCACCATATTGCTATGTCAGGGCAGYATTGTTACATGTCTCCACAAAACAGGACTGACTTGCAAGGATGCTGTGTGGATGAGGCAGAACAACTGGCTCTTCTGCAAGAAGAGAGTTTTTCAAACCATTACCTCATGATCGGGGATCTCAGAGGACAGCGTTCTCCCAAGGATGACYCCAGTCAAATATGTCCAGCAGCGAGCTGTGTTGGCAAGGTTGTAACCTCCTGTTTCCAGCAAGAATTGGGATTTTGAGGAAGAAGAGTGGGGAAAGGGAAAAGAGAAAAACACTTAAGTGTAAGGAAAAAATCATGGAGCCACTATGTGCAGGTTACATGAATTCAGCTTATTTTATTCACTCAAGCCATGCCCAAATCTGCATTTTGCACCTGCTGGCTACACAAGGCCAGGTCTGAATGACAGTATATGGAAGAGCAGATCTCTCAAACTGAACTCCAGTTATATCCAGTGTGGCAGAGGCCAGTCCTCCAGCCACCCAGGATGAGCTCCTAGCACCATGTGCTGGTCTCCCTCCTGGCAACAAGGAGAGCTGTTCACAAATAGCAGGGAGAGAAGTGCAAGAGCCACAGCACAAACAGGGGTTTCCTGCTTTTTAATACCAGCCTATGACCTATAAAGCAAAATACACATGTCCAGCYATACGCTGGTGAGCTCTTCAGCACTGCCATGTTTGAGAAGATGAAAGTGAAACTCATCAATACAACTTGCAACTGCTTTACAGGTAAATGAGATTCTACAGTCAGTAGGAAATGGTTACCTCCATGGTAATGGAACATAAGCCCACAAGGAGAAACCTTAGCTGAAAGCAATCCTGCAAGAGACTCAAGTAAGTTTTTTTCCAGAAAAGATGACTAGAATAGGGAAAGGAGAAAAGCACTTCAACAAGACAGAGACACCATATTTTTCAACATTCCCTTATGTTTGGGTTGGTTGTTGCGAGGTTTTTTTTCCTGCTTTTTCTTTTTACTTCAAATGTTTCCATGTGCTGCAGGGATGGGATGCTCCTTTGGTATTTTCACGAGTGACAAATAGTTAATCCTTATTTTTTAACAAAAGGTTGGGGGGTTTTGTTTAAAAGGTGACATCTCCAGCATACTCACAGACACGCTATGGCAGAACACTCATAACCTTCCCAAAACAAAGGGCATCAAGCACATAAAATTTCAGCCRTAATATGCTTTACCAGATTTCCCCCATCTCAAAAAGAACAGCTAGAGCTGATCTGGCTCCAATCATGGAGCTCAGGGGCTTTCCCAGGCACACAGTGGCTTTTGTTGTTCTGAATGCTCTGTTAACATAAAGCCTGTCCTGTGCTCTCCCCACTGGACAAGCAGCTGGTTAGGCAGCAGAGCAGACACAAGTCCAGCTTAGCTTTCACTGGGTATCAGAGCCCTGTTGTACCTTGCAGGCAGCCAGACCTTGTCCCAAGTCCCTGCTYGAATCTAAATGACACCATTCATCACCAGGTGCCCAAGGTAAGTTTGGGAACACTTTTTAAAGAGAAGCCCAGAAGGGCTGATCAGCAGATGGGTATCAGAGGTGCCATTGAGAAATCAGGGTGAGTTTTGTYGGCCTCTCCTCCAGAGGAGCCAAGCAGATTTTAAATCAAGATCTCAGTCAGGACGGAGACTTGCACCTGTCAGTATCAAGGATTTCAGGCATGAGGAAACAGTACTGTGCTACAGTATGTCCTCCTGATACTGTCCAGCAGTCACCCTGCTAAGCCCTTGCCAGTGCTGAGCCCAAGGGCAGGCACTTGAGGCAGGGTCATAGGAGGAGACATGTTTCTCTGTGAACGGCAGGATGGACTCACCTCCTCCCAAGACAAGAGTTGCTAGCTGCCACTGCAGGACATACTTGAGGCACTTGCCCACTCCCTCAGGTGTCATGTTGAAAGAGCACATAGGGTCTCCAGCGATGGTGTCTGCCCCCAGCTGCAGCACAACTGCATTGGGGTTGAAGGCAGCATACACCTCCTTCAGCACTCTGTGGAGAGGAGAAGCAGTCCAGTTAATGCCAACATGGCTCAGAGTAATGCTGGTGGCACAGCCCTGGTCCCTCAGATCCACCAATGCCTCTCAGGGTCACTGCATTCTCTGCTTCCACGTAATTCATACCAGTTACACTACCTCTGTTCCCAGTTAAGTCTTCTACCTCCACAGCAAGTTTAGCTCTGAGAGCACTTATCAAAAGGCTGATGAAGGCAAAAGCACCAYTGCCACATGGCAGAGGGGGATCTAGTCCTCACCAATTTAGTGGTAGCATCAAACTCTGAATTTACATTGGCTGCCCTTTGGCTGCAGGACAACCCAGGGGCCTTTCTCCCCTGCCAAAACCATCGTGGAAATTAGGGTCTRGCAAAACAATAATCCTGACCTCTCAGACATTTATCACTAGGACAGCACAAGAAAGGACAGGTGAAMCAGAGGAAGGCTCTGGCTAGGCTCTCTCCTATGTGGCTCAAGGCAAAACTGAGGAAAACCTCTGTACAGGGTGTAGTCAGCCTGCAAAAACTTGTATTGGACAGAGCTTCATGCTTCAAGCCCACCATGGTTTTGGGAAATACAGGCAATCACCCTCAAAAACAGCTGAATGAGATATCCACAGTCATGCCTGTGGCTACCTCCCAGCCTGGACAGAACTCAAAGAGATCGCAAAGTCTCTTTGCAGAAGCTTTAGCTACACACAGCTTGAAATCAATGGTAGGTTATGATGTCGTTCAGTTGAATGCATGTATGCAGCAAGCTCCTCCTGGGTGCGCTCCTGACCTGTCTCAGCCCCTAGAGCTGCCTTTCAGAAGCATGTCCTCTAGCACAAAGAGGGCTGCTCTATCCCAGCAGTGGCAAGAACCAACAAGCTAGCAGGAGGCATGGCCTCMGCAGGACTGTCCTACTGGCCTAGAACTTTGGAGAGGTTTCAGCCCTCAAGCATTATAGGTGGACACACTACCATGTCCTGCAGCGCTGCACTGAGATTCCTCTCCCCTGGAAAAGAACAAGCCTCACAGCCTGGTTTTGAGGCAGGCAACAACTTGTGAGGTCTGCCATCAGCTAAATGACAGAGGGGCCTGCCAGGAGGCAGCTCTGTCRTTGTCATTCTTTCATTTTTCCAGCACAGACAGAAGCTACTAGTAAAACACTTAGCTAAGCCCTAAGCATACATCCCACAGACAGACAYAGCACTTACTTGAAGAAAAGACATCTAGCCCTAAGTTCACAGCTAAAAAATACTTGTCCATTCTCAGTCTCTCCTTAGATACACAAGGCTGACCTGTGGCAGAGACACCCCCCAAGCCACCCACAAATGTCTCTGTATATTCAGTTTGCTTAAGGATTCAGAAAAGACCTCTGAGAACTCTTACAATCCATGTTCATTGTAATCAAAGGCTGCAACAGAGGAAGTGACAAGGCCTAAGAAAGCACTGTAATTAAAAATAGTAAGCTGTGTAGTATCTTATTCTCTAAAATCCCATCCAAGTCAGCTGTATTGGAGCAAGAGGGCTTACGATTCACAGATCTGGTAATACTTCTCATCCTGAATGCCATCTTGAATGGGCACATTCACACTGTAATAGCGACCTTTTCCCAAGCCAACATCTGTCACATCACCGGTGCCTGCACAACAGAAACACCCCAATTAGGAGGGAAAGCAGCACAGCGACAAGAGAGAGACATGTGAGATGACTCCAAGGCAAGCTGAGAGCCAGGATGTTCAGCATGCTTATGGATATGTCCACTTGCCACTACCAAGAAAGGTGGGGTGGAAGGACCCAGTTCTCTCCTTCACCCAATTCTGCAGCATTGAAGGGGTTCTGCCCAGACTCAGCTACAACCAGAAAGGGGGAAATGCCAAACATGTAGCTCCTCTCTCTTTCCTCCTCCTGGGTCGAGAGGAAAGACAGCAAGACACATCTGCAGGACAGCAGGGATGAGACTTGCCTTTATGGAGGCCTCACCAGTGATGTGCAAACCAAATGAGCACAAACCTCACATGTTCAACTTGCCTGGGAAAAATCCTGGTGAAAATTTGTGCAGAGAAACAGTCATGACTTTCGAGGTGAAACTAAAGGCATCCTCAACTCCTGTTAGGAAAGGGAAAAAAGCTTTCATGCATCATTTTTATAAATGATGGAGTCTAAACACACAGAGTTGCTTGATACACACAGGGCAGCAAGCAGAGAAGGAGCAGCATAGCAAAGAAATACAGATGTAGCTCAATAAATCCATCCTAAATCCACAAACTGGAGTTCAACTGCAGCAAAAAACACAACTGAAATGAATCTGGGAAATCTCATGCTAATCAGTACTGAATGGTTCTCAATATTTTATGTCAGTACACACAGTAGCAACATTTGACTGCACTGCTAGGGCTACAAAGCTGGACAGTGATCCGAGCAGGGCTGCTTTAGCCAGAGCTTGGCTCTGAATAGAACCAGTGCTACTGGGCTCTCTTGCCTTTTCTCAGTACTGCTGTGATTCAACATGCCTTTTCCTTAAAGACACATTAAAATAGTGGAGGTGGAGAGGGAAAAAAGAAGTAATAGGAAACTTAACAGAAAACAAATGCAGGGGGAAAATGGAGCAACATGAAACACACCATAAAATTTAGAAAAGCAGGAGATGTTAAATGGTGTAAAAATAATGTCCCTGGAGGAGAGAGCAGTTTTGGCTAGGCCAGCTCTGGCTCTAGTCACATAGCATCAAGTCTTCTTTTAAAAGCACTGTTTACTACTGGCTGCTTCCCTCTTGCACTGGACCATTAAACAATTAAACCCTGTCAGCAACTGCTCTGCTAGGATGGGAGACTGGGACACAGTATCTGTTGCYTTAGATACAAGACCCTCAAGAGAGGTCTGAGGAGCAGCATAGGGCAATTCTATAAAGCAGGATAAGGCAKAAATGGATGGGGGGAACTCAACTGCACTGAAAGGAGGTGAAACCACAGCTGTTTCAGCAAATAAAACCCTGCTGTGCAGACAAGCCTTGACTTCTCTCATCCCTCCCTGAGTCTGTGTGGGCAGCTGTGCTGATTGCAGCTTCTTCTGGGCCTTACCATCCCCATGATGCAAATCCAAATCGATATAAAGGACACGGTCAAATTTCTGGCGCAGTCGCAGGATCCCCAAGACAGCGTCATTCAGGTAACAGAAGCCAGAAGCTTCATCCCTGTGAAAACAATGTCTGTGACATGTAACACTGCCAATGCAATCASCACTGATCCCAGCACTCTCATTTTGACTTTGCAAGTGTCCACCTCACAGGGGCACAGAGAAGTAAGAAAACTCAGCCAAGGCCCAGCAGTGCTGGGTCAGAGACAGGTCAGGAGCAGGTCAAAGCATGACTGGGAAGCACAGGGAACAGTTTGTGCCAACTGCTTCTCAACTTTGGGCTTTCTGGCAGCTTGGTAATCATCAGKGGGTTCTGCTGAAGAGAGGCCCTGGCTTATTGGGGGTACCTCTGACCAYTGCACTGTTGAACAAATAAAATGTTAGCTTTCTGCACCTGAGACATTTTAAAGAAGTTCAGAACCACTCGACTCAAACCCACTCTCCCTCTGCGGCACGAGGTCAGTCTCCTAGGCCATTTTCCTGTGAGTTCTGGACAGGCACAGACAAGCAGCCATTCCATCCCTGCTGTCTGGGTCACAGCTCCCGGGAAAGTCCTGGCAGTGAAAGACAGTCACATGCCTCTGCCACTGCTCCAAAGTCTCAGAACATGAAGGTTAAGGCTCTTTCTTAAGTAACTCRCTCCTTTCTCTCCCCAGGAAAATGCAAATGGCATGTCCCACATGCAGTCCCTCACAATACAGCTCCTGGGCCCAGCCAGGAAAGAGTCCCAGCAGCTAAAGAGAGGACAGGTGTAGCATTCATCAGGGGAGAGCTTCCTCACTGGCATCAAAGGAACAAGGAAGTTTCTTGACCCCTACTCCAGCCTCGCTCCAAAGTCAAGACCCCATCACCACTTAGCACCAATCCACATGCATTCCTAAATCTGCCCTGGACAGCTGGTTTAAAGCAAAGCTTTATACTTTGCAACAGGAGTGCCCAAATCCCTCTTCCACAAATTATACCAGGATCCAAGATGCAACTCTGGAAAATGCTTCTTAACTTTCAATCATAGCACTCCGCTCATTTCCCMTGACACCTCCTGCTCAGCAATAGCTGGAAACAGCGAGAAGTAAGCCCAGGATGGCAGAACTAAACTCACTCTCACTCCCTGCAAGTGCCATGAAGCACAGGTGTTTCCCAGTGATTCTGTTCATTTACACTGATGCTGAGAATGGAGGTGTTACCAGGTATCYTGGGAATCTGACTCAGTTGTGGCTATGTGCTTCTCCCCTTCCTCACAGCCCACAAGGAAGCAAAGTGAACTACGCCATGTCTTGAGCACTCTCCTATGTGACACATCTCTGAAACTCAAGGCTAAGCAGAGCAGGAAACCAGTTCAAAGGTGGAGCAATGCTGGAGCTGCAGCTCATGGCCAGCACTTGGGATGTCCCCAAGCAGCCCTAAATCCACCCAGCAAAGCTCTGGGTGTCACTGACAGAAGGGAAGGTAAGGCTGGCTTGAGAAAAGGCACTGACTCAGAGTCTTACCCTCAACCCTAAAGGCATTCTCTGAACCAAGAGCTTCCAAAGCCCAAAGTAATTCCTACCTTTAGGACCATAGAAAGCAACCAAACCACCAGAGAACAGGTGTTTTTTGACAAAAGGAATGTATTTTGCTCYAACACAGGTCCTAGCACCAGGCACCTGCAATTCAGTGTCAGTCTGCCTGGACCTTCACAGTGGACTGGCACCTACCCTGAAGCATYACACACAAACTTATTGGGGTGACTGGGAAGACTCCTTTGGGATCAGTGAGTATTAAATGCTGTTTTTTTAAACAGACTGCTTCCCAGAACAGTGCTAATAGCTCAGCAGGAGCAACTGATAAGATTTTTTTTTCATTACAGGCATTTTTTAAGCCATGCAGTCCAGACAGAGGAGAACAGGAGATTTTCCAAAAGCCATCAATTCTGCCAAGTGCAAGCCTCCTTTCACAGCAAGTTGCGGCTGAAGCCAATTTCAGCCAAGTGCCCACCAGGAAAAGGGCTGAGACGGTGTTATTGCCGCCATTTGCACATCACTGTTACACCAGAATTCCTGTCAGGTCAGAAAAGTCACTGCATGTAAGACATCTGTAAGAGCAAGACATCTGCATGTACAAGCTGCCAGGGCTAGACACAGAGCTCATGAGAACTCCTGAGGCTCCCCAGGGACACAGAACAGCACTGCAAACATGAGCTGGCCATGGACAAGGAAGGGTGGTATCTGGTCTATACTGCAATGAGGTCCCATGTTTTGGGAGATGGGGAGCATGAGTTAAATAAAACATACATCCAAGGAAAATGGATAGAAACAAATTATTACATCACTACAGAACCACAGGATTCAGGAACAGAATTTTTACTTCCTCTCCTGTTGTGCTGGAAGATCACCACTGATGTTAGCGYTCACAGCAAACAGCCCCGCACAGTGGGTGGGGAAAGCCAAGGTCAGTCCTACATTATTTGAAACATCTTATTAAGAAACCAAAACAATCACACAAAATATTTTGGACATGTTGCCATATTCCCATTGTGTTCCGCCTGGCAGTGACATCAATTGTTTGTCTCTCCACTGAGCTTCTCCATGGACCCCACAAAATCCATTCTCACTTGAGCTTCCCGAGATAATAATATATCAAGGAAAGACAGGACACCTGTRAGCATACCTGCCCCAGACCTGCTCTGCAGCCAATGACAGCGACAGCACCAGCTTCAAGCAGTGACCTGCCTCCTCTCAGGCCTCTGCCCTACCCTCCATTTCTTTCCTCTCTATTTCCTGCCTTCCCACATACCTTGCTTTCTCTTCCAACTGGATCATTGCACCCTGAGGGTTTGCATGGAAGCAGGGAGCTAGGAAGCAGCGTTCAGACACCAGATGAGAAAACACAAGGGAAGAGATTATTTTCTTACTTCTTTGCATGATGCCATCCTCCAGGCCAGTTAATTGCTACCTTGCACTTGCCATCCAGCAGGCACTGGGCTGCAGTGATGGTGGCTCCTCCCACAGCCGCTGCATATTCAAAGATTCCTTCAGTGGCTGGACAGTCGTAACCTGCAGGTAAGAGTCCGCATGTCAGACACAACAGGCCTTTTCCTCCAGGGGAAGCACATTCCTTTTGTTTGAACCTTCATGACTGACCCTTGCTGGAGCAGCCTGTTTCTGAAAGACTAATCCCATGGAAGACCCAGCAGTGGGGAAGTTCTTGAAAAACTGCTACCCATAGGAAAGATCTGCACTGGAAAAGTTTATGGAGAACAGTGTCCTGTGGAAGAACTCCATACACACACAGGGCAAGAGTGAGGAGGATGGAGCAGCAAATGTGTGATCTGACCACAATCCCCATTTCCTGTCCACTTACACTGCTTGAGGAGAAAAGTAGAAGAGCTGTGAGTGAAGCTGAGTCTGGGAAGAAAGGTGGATGAAGGGAATGGTGATTTCAGTTTTATTTTGAATTCTCACTATCCTATTTTGCTCTTTATTAATTGGCAATAAATCAAATTAATTTCCCTGTGTAGAGTCTGTTTTGCTGGTAACAGTAACTGGAGAGTCATCTTCCTGTTATTATCTTGACATGCTCTTTTCCACAGTATTTTCTCCTCCACCTTATTGAGGGGGAGAGAAAGAGTGCATCTTGGTGAGCACCTGGCAAAAAACCCCACTCACACCACAAAAGTTAACCCACCACAAAACGCAACAATCTAAATGTTTTCTTGCACTCAGTTCATCAAAAAATGTGTCCTGAACCAGCTTCTGAGCTGTGTGTCTGGCTTGCCCAACCTACTGATCCCTCATATCAATCTCACCAAAAACTACTCTCGGGTCTCTGGCTACTTGACCAGAAAAGCCCTGGCATGGTCACTGACATAGAGCAGCTTTCCTGCAGCTGCTCCCCACAAAGCATGCATATAGCAGGACTGCTTGTCTTCCTGCAGACAGAGCAGCTTCAGGGRAAGTAAGGGCTAATGGACACTCATCGGCACAAAATCTGCAMCTCTGCCTCAGTTCTGAGTCACTTCTCCCATTCCTGAGACCAAAACAGTGCCCATAGCCATCTCAACTGCTTTACCCATCACATTGCTCAGACTGTCTCAGGTCCAGGTGGGCAAGAGCCCTCCCTTTGCTCCAGACATAAGTCACCAGAGAGACAGCAGCTGCTCTGGTCCCTGCAGAGCAGATCRCTACAGCTCCAGGCCGCTCTACAGCTCACATGGCCTCCCCACAGCAGGCTGGCAGCAGCCAGTCCCAGCTCCCAGGTTTTGCATCCTTCTCCAGGGCCCCAGGGCAGCAGCAAAAGGCATCAGCCCCAGCTGGCAAGAGACAGGCCAAGCTGCAGAGAGCAGCAGTGTCAAGCTAGGTGTACCCTCTGCTGGCACCATGGAAAGTGCCTACCAGATGACTGCTGGAGTTCAGCAACACTCCATCAAAGAGTGTCTCCCTCCAGAACCAAGTCCAGCATCACCCTGAGCTCACCCCTCTGTATAACTGCAGCTCCAACAAAAAGCATCCTAGCCCTGACACTGAACTAATCTCTTGCTGAAGATGCATGTCCTTACCCAGTCCATACTCCACAGACTCCGGGTGGTCATCATCCCCCTCCTCACTGACCTTCTGCAGGTGCTGCAGGTAAGCATCTGTGTGGAAACTTGCCATCTCCTCCATGGAGGCCACTTTTGGCTTGACTATGCTAGGCAGAGAGGAGGAGGGGAGCATATCAGGACAGGAGACTTCAGGTTTCARCAGCAATGTCCAACTTTAGCCTTTAAAGCCTAGGAGCCTTCTTATTTTGGCAGTTACTGCTGTAAAAGCAAACAAAACTTCCTCTTCCTCTTGCACTGGACTGTCACTCAGGTGAGAAAAYCATCCAGCTGAGCTGGAGCAGGCCTTGCCCTGGCTTGGCACTCCCTGCCGTGCCCACCCCAGTGAAGAACACCTGCAAGTGCTGCCTGCATTAACCTCCCACTTCGCTTCAAGTTTTTTTCCCTTTTCTCCGCAATCCCCAGCAGATCCAWCATTCAGGTTACACATACATAGAGAAACTAACCAAGTGAAATGCCCAGGCCCAGCTGCATTAGGATCTCAGCCTGGATGAGAAGCTGGGCAATGCCTCTTGCATACTGTGACCTGCATCAAAGCAGTGACTGTCGCTGTTCCCAGCGACTTGCACAGCACCTTCCTGGGTCTGGGTAAACAAATCCTGCAGCACACTGAACCTTCCCCAAAACTTGGACACGGGGAGCACACACAGGCAGTGCAGCACAGCTTCGCTGCTACAGGAAGAACACAGGAAACTCCCAGCTCCAGGCTGCTCCCGGTGCTTCCCACCCCATGCTAGGGCAAACAGCCCTCCAGGTTTGCTCCATAATGATACCTGCAGCCATTTCCCAAGCACACTCCAGAAAAAAAAATAGTTTAAAAAAGAAGTCTTCTGCTGAACTGGAACACATTTTTTTTAAAGATTTTATGAGATGCTTCACAAGAGGGCCTGAACTAAGCCTTTTTTTCCTTTCATATGCCTCAGTGCCAAGAGCCAAATGAAGCAAGAGGTATCTCACTTTTCTGCCCCCATTCTCATTTGGTCTTCTCTCCTTAACAGCACACAGAACTCACAAAAAGTCTCCCAGATCAATAACAACACAGCAAAACAACATGGTCCCTCTCTGCATCAGCCCTGGTTGATTGGTGGATYTGGAGCAGCAAGAAGAGTGTCACCCTGCTCAGAGTCCCAAGCAGGGGGGTAACGCACACTCTGCTGAGAAGGCACAAGGTTGTATGTGCTCCACCAGACCAGGAGTGTAACCACACTGAATTACACCTGCCATAATTATTGTAATTGTGTCCATTGTGGGGKGTCCTATAATCATGCCACCAGGGAGGGACACTGTGAAACCTGAAGTTGCTCAGCATCTTCCAAACCTTAGTGGAGAAGAAAACGTCCGTCACAGAAAATGRGGGCACTTACTTCATCTGGCCAAGTAAGCAATACGCTTCAATCAATGAATGCACCATGCTGGCCTAAAGAGAAGAATAAGACTGTAAGAGCAGGGGACAGAAAGCCAGCAACCGGGGACCCAAGGACTCGCAGACGAGATGCGGTTCAGACTCTTCCAGCAGCGGCTTTCCCCGCCCGGGTCCCAGCTCCGGCCCGYGCCCATGGCGTGTGAACCGGCCTTCCAGTGTCCCGGACACAGACGCAGCCGCGCACAGCTTCCCGGCRAAGGGAAGCGTCTCTTCAGTGTGCGACCCCGCGCTGCTAGGGGCGATGTAAAGGAACAGACGATTCCTCCCCGCTCTGACCCCACACTCTGCCCGCCGGGGCCGCCCGTTCCCCCAGCTTCCTCCTTTCCTGCTGCCGTGCCGGGCACCGCCCGCCTCCGCGCCCGGGCCTCACCGCTGTGCTCCCCGCGCCCCCTCGCCCCCGCCGCGGCGCTAACCCGCTTGGGCACTTTGCAGAGGGAGTCGCAGAGGGCCACGTACTCCGGGCTGTACACATAGACCGGCGGCGGCACTACCGCCATGGGGACCGGCGCGACCGGGACCGGGAGCAGCACCCGCAGAGCCGCTGGCTCGGGGTGCGCCGGGACGGGCAGTTCCGGCCCCGTGGCGTGCCGGGAGCTGTAGGCCGGCCCCACCACCATCCTTCCCCTGGCCCGGCCGTGTAAGAAGAGACAGCCAACTCGTGTTAGAGACATTTTTATTGGGGCTCCCACGCGGCTCGGGATGTTTATTCTCTAAAAATGTTTTGAAAAGGGCCTGTGGCCCGTACGCAGCCCCCACGGGGTGCTCGCCCTGCTCAAGGAGCCGCACTTCTGGAAGTAACCGGGCCCCCCTGACCCACGGCATCTCCCATCGGGTCCCTAGGGTCGGAGGGAGACACCGGGCAGGTCTCGGGCCCTTCAAGCCTCCTCTGACGGGGGCAGGGATCACACAAGGAAGGATCAGCCATGACAGGAAAGATGTATGCTAATATCTTTACAAACTGTTCCATACATGAGGGGTGAGGGTATGGGTGTAACGTCTTTGAAATAGATCTTATGTTTCTACCTACTTCAAGCCACAGTTTTGTTACAGAACCCAGACAGTTTGACTCCCGAAATAGACTATTGGGTCTGCACAAGCCTGAGTTTGTGAACTGTGAGGTTCAAGGGGGAAATACGTGGTACGCAGTTCGGGAAGGCTGTACCTTTCTAGTACCTCAGCCAGTGGGAAAAGGAAGCAGGCAACATGCGGCCAGGAGTTTAGGATAAAGGGAGACTACTTTCTGAAACCTCGATAGAGAAAATCCTGTGGGCAGACACCCCATTGGACTCTCTCTCTTTATTTGAATAAAGTGCAGGACTCCTCTGTCTCCTTTATTGGACATTGGCTTTTCATAGCCAGTTTCRTAGTGATTTTCCATACAGCCACAGATACAGAAGAGCTGCTGCCCCAAGAGACCACCTGGCTTTGAGGCCAAACCAACCTGGATATCACAAAACACAGGCACACTCACAGGAAAACACCTGGCTCTGAAGCCAGCCCTATCCCCAATGGAGTGGCCRATCTTTGTCTGGCAGGCTCTCCTGCACTCAGCCAGCCCAGGGAGCCACGCGGGCAGCATGGACAGAGTGCGGTGCTGGCACATGGCATGGGCAMTGTCACCCTGCCAGCTCAAAAGACAAGTTCAGCTGCTGGCCATCACCCTCTCAAAAGGAGSTCAGGCTGTGACATCCAGAAACCACATCCTCTGTGCTTGCTAGAGCGGATGTGACCRCACAGACAGAGCTCCCATGAAAACACGCAGCAGTCCAGGCCTCTGGGCACAGGGAGTGCCAGAGCCTTTCACTGGAAGCGAAGGCAGTGGTGAGAACAGCTGTGTTTGRTATGGCCAAGGGGATAAGATCTGCCCACCCTCGGGGCTGAGGTACGAGAAGACATAGAATGGCTAAGCAGCATAAGGGAATCTCAGAAAGAATGGGGGAACCAGGCTCTCCCCTCCCTGACAGCAACAGCCACCCCACAGCTCAGCAGAATCCTGTGTCATCCCTTGCCAGGTGAAGGCAGTAATTTGAAGGAATGGAGTGGGTGGAAGCAAATCCCCTCCTTGCCACCGTGCCTCCCCGTGCCTCAGTACAGCAATGGATTATGTGGATGTTAGTCCATGTACACCAGRGATGTGTACACAGAGATGTTGCCATGGCTGCATCTGAGCCCCCAGATCATGTCCACCTCCATGAGAAAGATGGGTTAGAGTTAGAGGTGACTCCTTTCTGAGGGTCCAACATGCCACACAGATGGTCCTCTGAGGGAGGTCTGCTGCCTCCCTAGGGCTCAGGTTAAGCACAGCAGTTGGAAACTTCCCAGCGGGGTTCACCTTCAGACTGCCGCTCCTCCATGAGGGTGGCAATGAAGCTGCAACATGTCTGAGGGCAATCGAAAGAGACTTCAGGGCCAGGGGATGATTGGTAAGATTCTGGAACACTGGTTCTTTCCTCTGTCCTTCCAGTTGTGAGCAGTGACATTGAAAGACATGGACTCAGTCTGCTTTATTCATGGCTTGGTAGCTGATGTCACTGCCACGATTTCAAATTTTTTAATAACTTTTTAACAAGGCATGCTGATGTTAGATGGGATCAATCTTTTCCAAAGGGGTCTTTGCTCAGAGCTAGTGGGGCTCACTGACAGCTGTAAAGCAGTCTTTGGAGTGGGACATGGATGGTATCAGGCTGGCCTTTGAYAAGCTGTGGGCCATTGCAAGGTCACAAGGTGAGAGTGATGGTTCTTGGCCTGTGGCTCAATGTGCTGAGTATACTGGAGCACACATGAAGTCAGGGAGATGTATCAGGGAGATGTACCAGGGACCCACAAGAGAACCCACTTCCTCCATCACTTTGTGGCATGCATGCCTGATCTTCATCAGTCCAACCGCACCATCCTGAGTGGGGGCTGACCTGCAGGATAGATTGAAGCAGGGAACCACTGTGTCCCCACCCCTCTCTGTGCCAGGCTATGGGAGATGGGACAGAGGCCAGAGCATTAAAAGCATGGCTCTGATTGCAGAGGTAATGCCAAGCAGCCAGCTCAGAGCTGCTGCACAGGGTCCATGAGAACTCAGGAATCTATGACTTTTCCACTAGCACTGCTACCAGGGATAGGGTAGATGGCACAGAGGGACTGCCACTGACATGTCCCAACCAGGCAGAAGCCCTGTCCTTGCAGCTTGAAGGTAACAGGGATCCTGGCTACCAGAACTTCCCCAGCTCCACACACAGGACCCCTGGGGGGAATGCTGGGCTGCCTGCTTCCAATCAGCACAGCTGTGGCTGGGCTGGACCATACTGATTTTAGGTGTGCTGGGAGAAAGACTAAGGCATCATCCCCTATTCCTCTAGCAAACTTTTCCATCAGCAGCTGAAAGAACAAGAGCTCCAGCCTACACTAGGCTAAATCCTACAGATTTGGAATAAAAAGCAGCACAGAAGAGGTTAAAAACTGCAAACCTGCTGGAGACAGGGAGAGTGTGAGCTGGTCAGGGAGCACTGTAGTGCTGAGCACACAGGTCTGGCCAGGGAAGCCCTTTCCAACTCCCTCAAAGGTCTCTCCAAGGGTGATGGCTCAGGAGGAGTCATGCAGACAGAACATTCCAAAACAAGCAGGCTTCAAAGCTCAGCCTTTCCCTTGCTCCTCAGGCCACACCCAGGCACAAGTCAGTTTAGGACACATGCCTTCTGCGGAGTTCCTGAGAGGGCCATTCACACACCAAGAGGCCAAGGCTGGGAGGAGAGATGGCCACACAGGCTGCCTTGCAAACTAAACTAGTGTTTCTCTTTACAAGCTTTATGAAATAACCTTCCTAGAGCACCTGCAATCCAGTGAGGAACTGCAAGAGCTACTGCATAGAGCAACCATCTGTGGGCAGAAAGTCATACACGTACAAGGCGACCGACTTGGACAGGTAGGTCATGGTGCCAAACCGGCCACTTGGTGCACTGTCATACAGCAGGCTGCAGATGCCTGTCGAAGCATCCCTCTCCAGCATGTGCTCATCAGCGCCCAGAGCTTTCTGGATTTTGGATAGGGAAGGAGAAAGGCATCATTAGTAATGAGGGCCATCCCCTTATCCACTTCCACCCAAGCATCCTCTATCGCACTTATAGTATGACACATCAATGGTGAGCAGTGGGACGAAGATACTACAGCTTTGCTGACCCCATGAACACAATAGGGACAACAGGCAGGGCCCTCCAAGTGGGTGAGGGCTGCACAGCTGTGGGGAATGTAGCCAGCAGCCCTGGGTGAGGCCTGGCCCCTACCTGCTCCTCATAGAAGAGGTCATTGGCTATGTGCAAGATCTTTTCCACAGCTATGATGCCACCAATGGTGTGCACCTCCATATCCACCAGCATGGTGAGCACTAAGATAGCTTCCACCAGCAGCTGCCTGTACTCTGGCTGGGGCACGCGGTTGAGGACAGACTCCACATGTACAGCAAACTTCAGTTCCCCTGGGGTCATCTGTGAAGAGGYAGAAAGAAGTGTACCCTAGAGCACTGTATCACCAGCTCAATTCCTGAGCTATGCTGGGCAATCAGCCAGGGTAACCCAGCACACAAAAACCCACATGCCCCGCTTCCTATTCATGTGAACCTACCTCTCTGGTTGTTGAGGAGGGAAGAACAAAGCCCTCCACAGAGAGGCCATGGCACTGCAGAACAGGAAGGAGAGWTCGTGATTATGGCTTGGAGAAACACCATGCTAAGACGCATAGGTCCAGCCCACAAACTTGTTCCCATTTGAACACTGGTGCATGCTGCCCATACACCCCAGCTCTGCCTCCTGACTCCACACAGCATCACTCCTTTCCCATCAGTTCAGCATCAGCCAGAGCCCACCTGAATGGGAGCTGAGGATGGGCTGTGCCCAGACCACTTTCAGCCATGCCCCTGTCTGTCTGATGTATGAAGCACCTGAGCAGACCCCAGCTCCCCTCAGCAAAGTGCAGGCTGAGGTAGGTCCTACATGACTACAAGRCAATTGCAAGTCTTCCACAGCTTTCCAAGTTCAGCTGCAGGCCTTGTCTATGAAGCACACATCTACACCACAGCAGGGACCAGCCCTGAGTGTCGAAGTCCCCCTGGCAAAGCTGATGCCTGGGACCAGAGSCTCAGGTGCATGGAGAGACACCAGCTGATGTTCAGCTCACCTTYTGCAGGACATTCCAGACCTTCTGGTAGAAGCCCACAGGGACACGGTTAAGGGCCCCATCCAGCCGTCGTCTCCGCTGCCACTGACCCTGCCGGCTGTCCTTACTGCTCTGGTCTTCCAGCATGCTTGAAAAGGAGTCCTTGTCCAGCAACTCTGTGTGCCTAGCAGACTGGGCAGACAAAGCAAGAACCACAGAGGCTGCTGCAAAGTTAAATATCCCACAGGAATGCAGCCTGCTGCTGTTCAAGAACTTGTGGTTCTCCAGCCTCATTCTCAAGACAGAGCTGCCATCCCCCACCCCCAGCAAGGCCCACCTTACAGTCCTAGCTCCCTGCAGCACCCCCCAGAGCACAGCTCTTTCCCACAGCCCAGTCCCAAACAAGACAGACGCCATGTGTGCAGCCAACAAACAGGTTACCAGAGAGGACTTGAGGTCGATGCTCCCAGACTGCAAACTGAGSGGCTGAAGGAGAAAGGGAGAGATGGAAATGAGACCATGCCAGAGCACAGTAGTGGTTACATGAAACAGAGCAGCAGCAGCACAGATCAAGGTCAGGTCACAGGGCAGTTATCCCAGGGCCAGGCTTAGCTGAAGACAGAKGGAATTTCAAAAAGAAAGCTGCAGAAGGCTGCACATGCCAGGGCTGCAGCAGCAGGGGGTTTGTGCTGGTCTGCACATAGGAATAGGACTGTTACTGCCCTGCTGGCTGCTGGCATGGGCAGTGATTTAATCTCGAGCAGACAGGGGACCAGTAGCAAGGTCACTGCCCACAAACAACCCTGTGTGATGTCAGGTTTCACACTGAAGCAAGTTGGCTCTAAATCTGCTGCATCAGCCTGATCCCTGCAAGCTCCATCTCTTTGATGACTGGACTCCTTCTAGAGCTCAGGACTCCTCCCGGACACAKGCCAGGCACAGGAGGAGATCCTTGGCATTTGTAGCTGACCAGAAGCCTCTTTCCCCAGAGGAGAAAGAGCTGAGGAGGCTACAGACAGGATCCAGTGAACTGTCCAGCAGAGTCCCTACCGGTCATGGCACAGGAAGCATCATGCCATTCTGCTCAGCAGATTTTCTGGGTATAATGGAATGTATTTGAGCACAGTAGCTCTGAAGCACAGCTCCCAGCTGGCTGTAATGACAGAACACCCACAGGTTAGGGAAGCCTTCTTCCCTGTGAGTTCAAACAAGGCAGGTCCCACTCCAAGGGGAGCTCTTTGAAAGGTTGTGGGCAGTGCCAGCCCTGGGCTGCCACAGAATGTTAAGCCATGCTGACCTTTTCCCAGGGACCCAGCCTCCTTCATTGTCCTGAATACAGCAGCCCTGAGCCTGCATAGAGGGGAAGCCAACTCATTGCTCCAACAGCTGAGGGAAGCTTATTGACTCATGCATTCAGGGAAGCTGCCTGGTGCATGGCATGAGGGGCAGAAGCTGAGGATGCAGGACCAGGGGGGCTTCACCTTACTCCCAGGCAAAGACTGCCTACGTTTATCCAATTGCTGCAAGAGAAGAAGGAAGTGATCTGCTGTTGGAAGAGGCCTATCAAGACACTTGCCATACCTGGGACACCACATGGTCCTCCCCACCCCTGCATCTTCTCAAGCAGGTGAGAAGTTGTGTTCACRTTGCCAGGGCAACGCCCAATTGCCCACCCACTACCAGATTCACCCCAATTTTCCCCTCAGGGCAAGACTGGWGACAAAATTAGCTCCTGGAAACATCTGAGTCTTCCACTCTTCCATCAGTTCTGCCTGGTGTGTAGCTGTTTTTCACTCACAAGACCTGTTGTGAGCAGCCTGCACCACCTGCCCTCACCTGTTTGATTTCACTTCTCAGCCTGACAAGGCCCATGCGCTCAGGCCTGCTGGTCCCAACAGCTCCCACATCACAGATGGAGACAGCAGTGGTGAGCGAYGAGTCCACTGAATGCACTGGAGGGGGAGAGAGGTCTAGACTGGGCAACATTGGTCAAGGCATGGCCATCCCTCATCACTGCCTGGGCACCCAATACCCCTGTATGCCCTTGCCCTCTAACATTGATAGCATCAGATCCATGAACTGATGCATCAGATCCATGAACTGATGCAACAGAACTGCTTCAATTCAGACCCAACCAGGACAAATGCCAAACTAAGCAAAGCTCAAATAGCCATGAGATTTGGGCTTGATCCCAGAAGTCACTCAACAACATCCTTATGAAGAGCAGAGCTTCCTGCTGGACCCCTCCAATGCTGAAGCATCTGTGCTGAACATGAGGGAGAACAGGGACACTCCTCACAAGTAGGAACACATAGATCTGGCCACATTCTGCACTCAGCTTTGCCCCAAGATGCTCTTTGCTGAGAAACTCACCACTCCTTTCCACCCCAAACTCTTTGCCAGAGAGGATGTGATAGAGGAGGCTCTTCATGTCTGATGGGCTGAGATTCATCAGGTTCTCCGTGGCTTCTCTAGCTGGAGAGAACAGAACTGTGATTTTGTAGCCTGCCTCACAGTCCTCCTAGGACATTTCTATCCTGCATGCCAATCAGCAAGCAGTGGGAGCCCTGGCACAGGACCTCATCTGACAAGGACATACACTAGCTCCAGGTGTTGCCTACAATATAGACTCTTCCCCATGCCAGCCCGACATACACTGGGATAGAGACTGCAGTGTAATCACTTCMTTGTGCTGCTCAAGGACAGGTCCAGCTGCAGACACTGGCACTTCCATGCAGTGTCATGTCCTAGCCTGAGTTGCCCACTTTTAAGAGTACTCCCTTCTGGCTGACAGAGCCCCAAGCATCACAGCACCTACCCCAGCTAGGGTGCTGTCACTGCTACATGTACCTGAACAACGCAGGGAGTGTGCCAGCTCTGTTGCCATCACCTGGATGATAAGCCCAATGCGGATGCGGAACATCTCAGCAAACAGTGCAGGCTGTGTRCGTATGTACATGGCCAAGTACACCATGATTTCCTGGAGGGACACAGGCAGATCACCCCACTGCTGTTCACCAGGGCAGACACTCAGCTGTGAGGTCCCCTCACATCGTGGTCCCTCACCTGGGTGAGGATGGACACACTGAGGTTTTTCTCACTGGCTTCATCAATAAGGAGAACAAGTTCCTCATAGGGGATTGGGCTGGGGTGCAAACAGCAGAACAGGTAAGAGGCAACAGAGCAAACCCTGCATACCCTCAGTTTGTACAGCCCAAGAGGAGAGATACAGGCTGGGGACAGCTACTCAGGGCCACTCCTGCCCATGGACCCCAGAGCAGCAGGCTCACATCCAGACCCAGCCCAGCATGCTTGGGGCGGAGGAGGTGCCACACTCACGTGGAGATTGTCTTCTCACGTGGCTCTGGAGGTAGCCCCACTGTCAAGTGTTTCTGATGAGAAAGAAGGTCAGTACAGGCCTGGGGACAGAAAGACAGGCACTGTCAACGGCTGAGGGTTTGAGGGCTCAGCACATGGCAGGAGACAGAGCTGATGCAGCCATGGTTCACCTGCTCACTCTGCTGCCTCCTCCCTGACAAACCTCAGCCTGCTAGAGGCTTGCTGGACAGCTGTTACCTCATCCAGAGCTTCAACCTTCTTCTTGAGGATGCCAGAAATGTAGCGGATCAGGGCCCACTGGCATGTCTCCCCCACCCGCACATACAGCTCAGTGAGGAGCTCCTTGACGGTGGGGCCAGGCTCACCATCAAGCCCCGTGTGCCACTCAGGTCCCCTGCAGTGAAGGAGGCACTGGGTTATATCCAGCAATTGGCATGTCAGCAGCTCCCTGGCAGGCCCCCTGGGCTGTGCCAAACACCTTTATGCACAGTGAGCCCTCAGGCCACAGAGCTCATCCTACTTGAGGATGTGGAGCACATAAAGGATGTCTGCTTGCTCCTGCAGTGTGGGGCAGATGCGCAGCTGGTCCACCAGTGCCTTGCAGTCCACGTTGCCATCCTCGTCACGGGGCAAGTTCATCTCTGTGTATAGTGCATGGCTCTGAGGGAAGGGAGACCCGTGCTGCTGATTAGCACCACCACAACCACCAAATGGACCCATGCCATGTTCCCCCTTGTCAAACAACAAGCCTTCCCCTTGCAGTCTTGCAAGGAACTCTGGCTCTAGCTGAAAGGATAGCTCAGTCTGGGAGAGACAGAGGTCACCTTGCTATCCGAGTCATGCTGGTGGGGTGAACTCAGCAGCTTGACCGACTGCTGGGATGCCTGGAAGATCCTGCTGGGGACATACATCCCAACATCTAAAAAAAAGCAGCAAATATTGATGGAGATACATCCAGCCCCTATCACCACTGCTGTGCCCCCAACTACCTCAGATACTCTCATACTTCTCCCACAGCAGTCCCTGCAGAGAAGCTGGCTATGGGAGAAGCAACCCCTGTCCATCCATTCAGAGGAACACCACAGGGAGCTGCTATCCTTTACTGAGTTTCCGTGAGACTGTATAGGCACCAACTCCAAGACACTCCATGGCCTGGAGTAACACAATGCACATAATACGCCTTTGCCCAGATAAAGGCTTAGTTCCTCTGCAATCCATGGGAACTCCAGCATCATACAACTGTGAAAGCTCCCAAAGCACTTCAGGCTCACCTCTGGGCTCAAGGGAAGGCGTGGAGGGTGCTGGAGTTACTCACTCTGGACATGCAGGTCCTTGGCCTTGGAMGCCAGGGACATAAGGTCACGGGTGGTGTGGACAGCAGCCCTGAAGCGGTTCAGGCCTCCCCGCTGGGTAGTGGGAGGCAGGTTTGACTGTGGASTTGTGTGCTGCAGCAGGTGATCCAGGTACTGAGCAACCTCATCGTAGGTCTCCTCTGGAAGGGAAGGCAGCTGAGCAAGGGTTCAGCCATTTTGAGTTGTGGCACCCCAAGGTCTGGAAAGCTCCCAGCTGTGCCTCAGCAAGGACAAAGCTTTGCTGGCTGCAGGAAGTGACAACGTAGGGCCAGTGCTGGCAGCCACTGGGACTGACAGTGCCAGCAGCCAGGCACACAAAACACCCTTGTTCCTGCATGACTCCTGCCTGGGACACTGCCTGCCCCAAACTGGGACTTCCTCTGAGTTCCACCKTAACAAACAAAGCAATGCGGGGCTGCAGCATGTGTCTGATCCAAATGTGTGCAAGGACAGGAGTGTCCTCTCAAACCCCGCGGAAAAACCCTCACATTCCTTGTCTCCAGGGAAGAAGTGGGGGGATGCACAGCCAGGGGAAGCCTGTCTAAGCAGAGACTACTCACGAGCACCCCAGCACAGCGAGGGCATCTTCCAAGCAGGACTCCAAGGGAGCAAGGCAGGGTGGGTTTTGCAACAGTTATTTCTAAGTAGGAGTTAGAGTTATGGTTCCTGCCTTGCTCTTTGCGCAGCTTAAAGCAGCTACCAACACCACATCAACAGCAGCAGAGGCACCATGCATTAACAGCAGCATGGAAGAGGGTGCTCAGAGGTGTCTGCTCAGTCAGAAGGTAAAAGTGAGGGGTTGCCCCTGCAGGGAAATGCCCCAGATACAAKACAGAGCTATGTACTTACAGTGAACCAGGGAAAAGCTACACTGCTCTCCAGCTGGCAAACTTGAGGTGTGTTGGCCTGAGAAAGTGAGCTGTAGACTGCACCTGAAGCAGCATGATATCCCTGTTCCACCCCTCATGGGAATGCTTCATGCCAGTGCCTGAAGGCTAAGCTGGAAAAGTCCTCTAGATGCCACCCTTGAGAACATTCACATGCCTGGCTGACCACAGGAAAACCTTAAAAGTTAGCATCTTTGAGATGCTGTTGAAAGGCCAGGCAGATCGTCTCACTGAGGCTGGGAGGGGAAGCAGACACCTTGGATGCAGCCTGTAAAGAAGGCTGCAGGTACAGTGAGAGAAGGGCAAGAAAAATGAGTATTCAGAGTCCCAGCAGRGCAGACACTGGCTGCAGGAGCTGCAGAGGTAAAGCAGATACTGGGAAGGATGATGACGTCACTGCAGCAGAGGTCCCCAGGCCTGCTTGCAATGGGAACAGCAAAACTTGCACCCAGCACAAGGGGGGTCCCTCATGCTATGAYGGGCCTAGGCTTTCTCAGGTACTCTCTACATAGCAGGAAAGCTTCAATTTGGCATTCACTGATGCAGCTCTGCCCAGCGGAGAGGCAAAGACTTTGGGAAAAAACAGATTAATTAGGGACATGGTGGCTCTTCACCACCACCTTGGTCACTGTGCTATCACCTTCTGCACCACCATTTCTGCATCAAGGACCCTCAGCCACATCTCCCAAGCAGAGGCAGGCTGCCAACCCTTTATCTCGTCTCCACACAGCAGCTTATGAAGGTCAGAGCTGCTCATAATAGACGAGGTTGACGGAGGGTCAGATGGGAACATGATGAGATGAAAAATTAAAGACCTGGTTGCTTTAAAACAAGCACATAAATTCCTGCTCCCCCAAACCCTGCCTAAACCTCCAAAGATGTTCTCTGCATCCATGWCAAGAGGGTTATTTATGAAACTTCATCCTTGTCACAACTACAGTATATTCCACCCCCTTACTAAATACTGTAAATTCATGAATGATGAGTACATTCTTAAAAGCACATGRAGAATACAGTGGTGGATGCTGGCAGGGAGGTTGGGTGTTATGGGTCAGTTAGGCATTTRCCACTCCACAGAGGCAACTGGCCCTCTGTTCTCCCTTACCATCCTATGCTACCTGCAAGCCATGCAGCCACTCCTTGGTGTCTAGCTTCTCAAAGCTATCACTGCTGAGCCTGTAACTCTTGGCAAAGAYCTTACCCTCTGGCCCAGGGTCCATAAAACTGAGGTGCGTTCGGCATGACGTTGTCAGGAACTCCGACAATTTACCAGTCTGAATTCTGGGCAAGAGATAGGGAGGTSAGATAAAGAGGAAATGGGAAACAATAGCCTTGGTTTTACCTCCTGGCTGCCCTTTGATGGGGAGAGACACGTTCATGAGGGGCATACACACACCAGTGTCTACTTTAACTGTCTGCAACTACTTCAGCCACAGGTGAGCATGGAAKGGATGCCCAACAGCTATTAGAGGTATCCTGCAGCATGGGTTTGATGACATGAAGAGCTATGTCCTCTCTTTTATCTCCTCAGCTGGGATTGTAGCCCCAGGGCACACTGAAAGCCTAGCACATCCCACTATATCCTCCTCAGCTTGCTCTTCCACAGCCTATGCTCTGCCCAGCAGGTATCCTCATAACCAGGCTTTTGGAAGCCACCAGCCCTCTCCTTCCTGCACCACAGGAAGCTGCACTCACCTTGCGCCACCGAAATACCCGTCCTGCAACTTCTGCAGCATCGCCAGCACTGTGGGGTGCACACTGCTGCTAGTTTCATCTGTGTGGAAGAGCACAGGCAGTCAGGCTCTCACACTCAAACTCACTCCCAGAAAGTAACCTAGGAGCAGGCAGGCATTCAGACACCCAAAGCACCATGGCCAGACCCTTACTTTGGGGTACACAGTCAGACTGTGGTACCAAAAGCACCACCCAAAAAGGAAAATTCTCAACTGTCCAGACAGGATTCAAGGAAAGCCAAGCCAGAATGCACTCCTGAGATTTCACCTTGGGCTGAACCTGACAGTACCAGAGAGCAGCACCCAACAGCCCTCATCTCTGTCTCTGCCTTTCACATGAGACAGCAGAAAAGTGGGCTGCTTTCAAGGGCAAGAGGGACCACAGCAAAAGGCATGCTTGAGAAATTAAGGGGATTTCAAGTATACGAGGATACAGAAAGGCCTTAAAGCAGAACAAAGTCACTTCCCTGCACCAGACTCACAGGGGAGCTGTGAGCTGCTGCAGGCAAGCCAGTTCTGCTCTGTGCCTTTCCTCCTTCTGGTTTACTGTTTTTCCCTCTCTGTTGACCAGGAAAGCCTTTAGCAGATGGTCAGTCTTAGGGAAGAGTCAAGATGCAGTAAGAGCACCAAGAAGACTTCTACAGAGAAATTGCTCTTTTGGTCTTCYTCCCAAAAGGCCTTCCCACAAGCCTATTTTCCTGGAGACTGAATACATACGTGCCAGCAAACAGCCCTTGAGTAGCAGACACTAGTGCCCGACAGGCAACCCTGTTAGCTGCCAGGCCAGTGTGGCTCCTCTGAGCAGTAAGCTCTTCACAGGACACTACTGGCTGCTCTAGCTTCACCATCCCATTACTGAGATGGTCACACATCTGCCCACCCCCTTCGTCCTGCAGAGCCATTTCTCAGGGCTGCTCTAGCCAAAAGCCTTGCAAGGTTGGAGTATCTATACCAAGCATGGTGTGGGAGATGGGGAAGGTGATAGTTGGTCGCCCAGTCATCCTCCAGCGGCTGCAGAGATATGAGAGGTCCGTCCTCAGCATCTCCACAATCATCTTGTTGTCAAGAGCCAGATAGAACTGCTGCTGGTCTATGAACTGTGAGGACAGCAGATGTGATCAGCCCTTCATGCAGTCACCAGGTTCTTATGGTGCCACCCATGTCTTCTCACAGGCACACAATCAGGCTAGCCGTGCTGGGCATCCTGAGGGCGTGCTCCTTTGCACTGATGGCTCATCCACCTTACTTGACAGGTGCTAGTACAGCCTAGCAAAGGACCCTCAACCCCCAGGGCAACTTCTGACCACTAACAACTATGAGGAGGTAACTAACGCCACAGCTCAGCAGCAGCATCCAGGCCCCACACAGCCAGTCCATGTTGTGCCTGTTTCAAGCAAATATGTGCTTGGAACTCCCCATAGTGCTAGGCTTGCAACACTGTTCGTCCCCTAGACACATGCCTGCCATCAGTCTCCTCCTGGTGTCCTTATCAGGGTGAGCAGAGATTTTCACCCAATACTGATCATTAGAAGGCTCAAACTGTCCTAACATGCACACATCCAGGACCACCAACKGTAATGCCTCATGTCACAGAGTTGGACTGCTCCACACTCCCAGACCGTTCAAGACTGTTGGGTCACACCTTAAAATAACTTGAGTACCCAGCCACTGAAGAAACATCCTGCCCAGGTTCATATCACAGAATAACTGTGAATGAGTCTGTACAATGTCACCCACCTGTGGGGTAAARGTAAAGATGCTCTTCCTGATTTTGTAGAGCTTGGAGGTCCCAAGGACGCCCATATGCCGATATGGCCGTCCTGTAAGGCACATCTGCTTGTTGCGGCCTGGGAGGGCAGAAGAGGAGCTTTTAGTACAAACCTCCTCACAAAAGCAGCTGCAGCAGTAASCAGTGCCAGGCTTCTGGCTACCAGCCAGCAGGGAAATGCTGGCTTGTGGTTGGGAAACCCCAGAACCCTGTGTCAAGCTGGTACAGCATTAAGGGATAGTAATTCTCTGTTCCCAGACCTGTCCAGAGCAGTAGAGACATGCTARAACAGCTACACAGCCTGTCCTGACTTCTGCAATGTCATACCTCCTGGTCTTTGGGCATGTCAGGAGCTGGAGCAGGGCTAGGGGTGCCCCTCTACATAGGGCTGGCCCCGCTAAATTGACAGCTCTATCAGCATTCCAATTGCTCCTGGATTACTTCCAAAGCCCAAGATGGTGCAGCAACATCACCCCTTGCTCATCAGATCTGGCAGCTGCCAGGCTGCTCCCCGCTCCCATGTCACACTTGGCCTTTTGGTGGCCTAAATTAGCCGACAAATTAAATCACAGCAGATCAGGTATCTCCTTTGGCCCAGGCTAAATCTCTGGCTCCTGCGCAACAAGCCCCATGCCTGAGCRGGTGCAGAATCAGGGAGCAAGCACGCAGAGCCAAGCACATCCTCCCCTCACACTCAGCCCTGCTCATGCCCTAGCAATAGCCATACTGCCTGGGCTCCAGGCTCTCTCTGCCAGGGATGGCCAGAGGACGCTTCCTGGGGTGTGGCTAGCCTTCCCCACCCAGATCTGAGTACAGGAACAAAAGTCAGCTCCTGCCCAGSTTCAACCCGCAGGGATCAGAGCCTCTGTCTGTCCCTGGGGTGACTGAGCAACTGCAAGCCAAAGCTCTATCCCTGTTAGAATCACACAGAACAGCACTGTCTGCCACCTTGCTCCCCTTGGACATGAGTGGCTTTATCAGGCCTAGAAATGGACAGCAGAACCCTCATTAGCCAGGCAGAGAGCAGGCCATGAGTGTCTATGAGCAGGAGTGCCAGGTTTGGACAGACCCTTCTGCACCACCTTTGCTGCAAGAGCAGAGAGCCCAGCTCACCCAGCCGGGCATAGATGTGGCTGAGGATACGAGCAGGCTGCACTCTGATGGGGTAGACGTCTGCCACAGTCTCCACATCAATGCCCTCCTTCTGCAGGATTGCCTTGATCCCCTCTGTTTCGGCCAGGATACACACTGTGGGTGGAAGACAGTCTCAGTGCAACAGAGGCACAAGGGAGTGACAGCACTGCCCCATGCCTTTGGGGACACATACAAGGCACACATCACAGAGAGGAAGCTGTCTGGGGTCCCTTGGGAACCAGTTCCCACTGCAGAAGTCTGCCTTGCCCTTCCAAACATTCTATACACCCAAGTCTTCCCCACCAAGTGGCAGGAAGACAGTTTTCAGTCTCTCTGAGAGGGGGCTGTTATCTGGGTCAACACAGGATGAAATGGTAGGACTTGCACCCCATCTTTCACCCACCTTGCCAGGGCTGACACTGGGCTGTATTGGCAGCAACCCAGTCAGCAGAACCACCTCACAGCCACCTCTGTGATTTCTGCACAGCTAGATTTCCCCACCTGACAGGCTCAGGGATTTGGGACTGGTTCCCTTCCCTCACCTTGGACCACCACATCAGGTTTAGGCACAGTCGCAAAACGGCGGTTGAGGGGATCTATTTCACCAGGAGCTAGAAACCCCTGTGGCAAAAAAGGTAAAAAGAGATTAAMATTTTATGGGGAAAATGAGGGATGCCTATGGACAACCCACCTTTAAGAGGTCCTGGGAGATGGAGGTGACAGCTTCCCCATGGCAGGAGGCAGCATTTGCACTGTCACAACTCAGAGCGTGGTCCCACAGCCCTCTGCAGCACCCATGGTGACCCTACCTCAGCCATCAGACAACCCAGGATGTAGAGGGATTGTCCCCACATGTGTGGCAGCTTGCCCATGGGTATCCTGTCCACAGTGTGTGGGTTCTTGTACTCCTCATCCACCTGGAAGACAAGCCAGGAGGTTAAGAAGGGATCCACAGACACAGGATGCTGAAGGAAGCATCCTCACTGTATCTCGAAGTCCAGCAGTTCAAGGGTTAAAACAAGACCCCACAGCAGCATTTGTCACAGAGGGTATAAAAAACCCTGGTTACATGCTTCTCTTCTCGTGACTGCCCCAGGCATCTGTGTCAGACAACAGATCAGCTGCTCAGCCCGTGTTTGGTTTCCCAGCTCAGGCCATCCCACTAGAAGGACTGACATCCCCCAGAAGCATCCAGAGATGCTTTCTGATACTGGTGAGGAGCACATCTGTCCTGGAAGACCTGGGCATCAGGAGGCCACTGCTCTTAGCCCAGGCCTACACARATCCCCTCCCCTCACTGAATAGGAGCTCAGCACCACCTACTCAGCCCAGGTCTGCTTGTCCTGAGCTCTTGGAGCACACAGTCTCTGCGTGAGCAGACTGTCAGAAAAGAACTCTTGCGTATGGGAGCAAGAAATGCTTTGGGAGAAAACCCCAGTTTTTATCCAAGAGTTTTGTAACAGCTCCAAACCATCCTTTTTATACATGAGGTTTCCATGCACTAATGTGCCCCTTCACTAACAATTTGGATAAATAAACACTTAAAACTTAATTATCTGGTAATAAGACCAGGAGTTTCAGCAGCTGGACTTTGATGATCCTTGGGGGTCCCTTCCCAAGAATATTTTCTGTGATTCTGTAAGACACTCCTGCTTCCCACCATAGCTCAAGATTACTCACCTTATCTGGTGGGACACTGTACAGCTCTGGCAGCAGGTGTACCCCATTCTTCCCCTTGATGAGAACGCCCTCAAGGGCTTCCCGGTACTCCTGCACCTGAGAAGAGAGAAGAGGGAATCTGCCACCAATCATGGCTCCCTGCATCATTCCCCTGCACACCTCTCCTGCCAGGGACTTCTTTCCACCAGCCCAGCAGGTCCTGCCTATCTTACCTGCTCCATGTTTCCACTGAAAATCCCATCAATCATCAAATATGCCCAGAAGAGAGGCCACTCACACTCGATGTTCTCAAATAGCTTCAGCTCAGCAGGCTCATAGTAGAGACGTTCGGGGTCCTGTAAGTGACAGCAAGGCAGGCRGTGTGTAACAGGATCTGCTCAAACTGACAGAACTTCTCCTCCTCCTGAGACCCCAGCCTCAAAAGTCCTCCCATCCCTCCTCTGCAGATGGTCAAGACAGAGCTAAAAAGTAGTTTCACCTCCAGTCTCTGTTTTCTCCATCAGACTACCCCCTCCTGAGCCCCCTGCACYGATGATGGAGAGACTTACCCTTCCTGTGATCTACCTCATCCCCAGGAGCACCCCCCAGAGCCCCCAGAACACCCCAGATGTTGTGCTGTTGTACAGCAACAGCATGACATCCCCTGTGCCACATTGGGTCCCCTTTGCCTTGCCTGCTCTGCCTGAGCCCCTCAGCATGCCTCCTCCAAYATCACCAAGCTGGCCCAGCCAGGTGAGAAGGCTTGGGCTGGTCACATAGGGCCAAAGAGATCCCTCCAGGGTCCTCCTGCCATGTGGTGTCACCATGAGCCTGACAAAAGGGAAGCTATCAGGATGAARAGCTGACTGTGCAGTCCTCCCACCTCAGCTGTGAGTGGTATTGTGCCCTTTACTCGACCCTCTCTGGTAACTGCTCTGTCTGTTGCAGAGAAGGAAGAGTGCCGGCCTTAGCAGATGATTCAGGCAGAGAGGACAGAAGGAGCTYCCAAAACCCCAACTGATTCCAGGCAGCTGCATGCCTCTGCAGGCATCGCTGCGCAGCTCCCCAGAAGTAAGTCATCCACAACTCTGAATGCTGCCAAAGCTCGTAAGCGCTGGGAACATTGGACTGGAAACACTGCTGCTTCTCTCTGGCTCTGGCTGSTTCTCTCATGCTGCCTATTATGGGCAGGTCTGTAGAGGCGCAGCGAAGGAGAAGTATTCARAGGTACTCGTGCCCAAAGGTTACAGGCCCAGCAGCTGGTGATGACTTAAAAGCYTCTGAGTATCATTTTCTAGTTCAGTGGTTATCAAATGAGACCGCTGCTTATAAAATTTTCCTGTTTTCTCTCCCCAAATCAGCAAACTCTCCACTTGCTCCCACGGCCATTCTGGCAGCGCCCACTGCTGGTATAAGAGAAGACAGAAGCAGCTTTGCCACCTCCAGAGCTGCTGCTTACAAAAGCATTGGATAGCAGCTCTGCACAGTCACCTCCCCAGGCCTCCAGCCCTYGCTCAAGGCTGGTGCAGCCCTGGGAAAGACCCCTCAGAAAGGCTTCCATGTGGGCCACTGGTCCCACCTTCTCCCAGCCTAAGAAAGACACAGCACCAGGTACCAGGATGCAGGTAGAGCCAGCTCTGGCCATCTGYTATGGACATGGGTGGGATGTACCAMCTCTGCAATGAGCTCTGGCATTTTGGGAAGCTTTGCCCAGACCCATGACGCTGCCTGGGGCTATTCAGACCTSTTGTCTTCCCAGAGCTCCCCAACACAGCCTTTGCACTGCATCCAGGCAGGCTGCTGCTTGGCAATCAAGTTCTGCCAGGCAGAAGAGCTGAGGACACTCACCTCTTTGGGAGTCCTGTATCCATCCCGGAGGAAGCGGCAACAGCCATAGCGCCCCTGAAAAGAAGGGAAAGATTTGCTGAGAAGGAGGCACAGTGTGAAGTATCTTGCACATTCAATGCAGAAGCAGGGGCAGGGTGTCTCCTTCAGCCAAACACCCCCTCCCCCCTCACTCATCCAGCACTCTGGTGATTCAATYACAGCCCGGGGCCACAGCACACAAGGCTACTTCTTTGCACACCACTGCCACAAGTCACAGAGACTGGGAGAGGACATGCCCCAGCAACCCCCCACAGAGCATGTTTTTGGCAAGAAAAGGGCTACAACAGTTTGGACTTCTGGGAACAGTGAGACAAGGTCAAAGATGCTTACCTGCAGCTTGGTGATAATCTCCTGCTTGGTGATTTCCACCAGTTCGCTGTCCTCCACAGCAAATGCGGGGTAGGAGATGACAGAGAGCACACTGGCATCCACTTCCTTGGATGTGGAGGCCCTAGGCAGCATTGAGTGGAGGATGGACTAGGCAAAAGGGAAAGGAGGTTAGGCTGCCAGGCCAGGCATCCTTCACACCCAAACCAGGCAGATCACAGTGCCTCTTGCGACAGTATAACACCTGAGTGGATCTCACCTGGCAGTGCTGCACCTCATCTGACAGCACCCGTATCACCGACTGTGGGCCTCCCTTGGCTCCAAAGAGATCTAGCTCATCCAGTGCCTCCAGGGCAGCCTGCAAGCAGGGTGAGACCGGAAGAGGTATGTCCCTCACYATGACACTCACCTGTAAGAGCTCTCGCTCCATCAGAGCGCCTCATTCCCTGTGTGTAATGCACTGCCTAAATTTAAAAGAATTTGAACCCTGCTGTGGCTGCAGAACATCCCTGGTAAAAATGGGACCACATCTCCAAACATCAAAAGGGCCTGAGCCATTTCTGACACACAACCCCCATTAACTTTTTGCTCACAGTTCAGGCAAAATCCAGGCTAGAAGGGCACAGTTTTATCCCCARTGCACACGGAGAAGAGTTTTGCTCCCCAGGAGCCAATCACTGCAYGGGGCATTGAGCCTCAGCAGTTCAACACACTCAGCCTACCCTGTCAAAAAGCAGCTCAGGGCCACTTGGTTCTCCTCACCACTGCAGTCAGCACTTCTCCCCAGCTCACCTTGGCCATGCCGACAGAACTGGCATTCAACTCGGTGATGCCCTGGTTCGTCTTGTCCCCACGCTCCCATATGCCAAAGTCCTGTAAACCAGGCACTGGTTCAGAACACACCCAGAAAGCCTTTGAACCCCATCCATTAGTGATGCTTCCAGAAGGTGCTAGTGTGGCGCAGGGGGAGCCCACAGCTTTTTTTAGACACCAGTTCAGTATCTCCACCACTGGAGCACACCCCCCTTCCCCAGCACATGCTACCCACCGCAGTCTTGTAGGCAGCTTCAATGTAGAACACGAGGTTCTGGATAAAGTTGACTTCATCCAAGCTGTGAATTATGTGAAGGCCTGAAGCAGATGGAAGAATTCACATTAGCCACTCCAAGCCCACAAGCATACCCMGACTGGGGCTGCAGTAACCCAGGGATGACTCCTCCCCACTCCTCCCATGCCTGCCCAATGAGAGTTATGTCCTAGCTGACCCCATCTCTACTCCCACCTCCCATGGCAGCACTGAGGCTTCAGACCAACAGGAGCTCTTAGAGACACCAATATTGATGCACCAAACCCACCTCAGGTGATGTGAGCATAAGAAAACAGTGGGGGTCAGGGAAGCCATTGCAACAGCTTGGCACACAGGAAGCTGCACCCAAACTGAGACTCTGGCAAACCTGAAGACCAGCACACTCAAAGCYGCAATGGCAGCCCCCAGCATTACCTGAGGCTGTCATTTGTGCCAGCATGAGGAGGTAGAGGGAAGTAGCATCCATCTGTAGGTGACCCCACTCATGGTCTCCTACCACAGTGGCACAGGTGTGGGTGTTATACTTGGCATGCAGGCAGTCCCTGGTGCTCTGACTGTACTTGAAAGCCTCTACCTTGTCCACCTTGAGAAGGGCAAAGACATGTAGGTATCCATCAAACCCTGTCTCCASAGAGGTCTGACAGCTCCCAAGCCAAGGGCTGCCCCATGCCATGAGCYGAGCACATGGAGACATGCCTGGCAAGGCAGAAATTCCACAACCCCTGGGCTGAGCCCCACTGTGCACCAAGACAGTGAATGCAGGTTCACATGCCGCTGTGGCACAGGGCTGCAGCTGTGGAGGGTCCACTGCCACAGCTGCACCATACAGAGAAACAGGTTACCCAAAACGCCCCCAGGGAGGAGGTGCAGAGTCCTAGCGCCAGCCAGGCCATGAGACAGGGAGCATCTGGCAAAGGCTTTGCTGGCCACCAGCCCACAGCTCTTAGTGGAATTTCAATCACACCCAGGAGAGATGCTCACTCAGAACTTATTTCAAAACTTGCTGGAAAGGGGCCTTCTCTCTGCTCATTGGGAAAGCTGGGGAGATGGCTGGCACAGCTAAGACTGATAGTCTCTGTGGCATAGCTGAGCTTTAAGGAGACCACTTGAMACTCAGAGGTACTCCCTAACCCCTACCTGTCTCATCATGCACTGAAGCAGCCCCCGCATCAACTTCACCACGCTCTGCAGGAACRAGAAAAACACACTTGTTAATCTCCAGGAGAAACCCTGACTCGGGATCAGCTGGCCACTGACCTTTGCAGGGTTCAGCGTTTGTAATCAGAGCCCCTACTCACATTTTCACAGTCCCTGCTCCCTGGGTGGCAGCAGAGGGAAGATTTCTTGGTCTGCCAGCAAGGCCAGGTTGCCATGCTATGCAGAGGGGCAGAGGGCAAGGCTGCAGGACATGGCTCCCCAAACCTTGAGAGAAGGGCTGTGGCCCCAGATCACCCCAGAGCCAGAGGTCTGGACCCTCTTGTTGGGTTCCAGTGTGGTATGGTAAGAGCAGGTTCTGACATCCGTTCCTATCGCTCCCGCGTCGGGAGACAGCCCTGTCCTCGCCCTCACTGCATTGCCTTTGGGCCCCTGGCCCAGCTACGCCAAAGGCTGACCAACCCGGGGTGACGGCAGTCCCCGGGTAACATCAGCTCCGCCCCCGGCTCCTGCTCCCTCCTACCTGCTCCAGCTCATAGGCCTTGGCCTTGTCCTCGTCGCGGTCGGCATTCTTGCGGTAGGCCAGGCCAAGACCCCAGACCGCCAGGACGCTGTAGACGTTATCCCGGACCCAGGCGTCCTGTTGGTCGGCGCTGGCGGGGAGCAGYCCCGTCACCGCGTCCTGCGGAGGGGACACACCGTTCTCACAGAACTCCCTGGCCCAGGGACCGGAGAGGCGCGCCGGGSTGCCGAGCCCGCCCCCATTCCCGGGTAGGGTCCGTACCTGGTGGCGAAGGATGGTCTGCTGCACCAGGCGCCCGTAGCCGTCCAAACGCACGCCCGAGTTGCTCCGGCTCCTCATCACGGCGGCGACAAGATTGGGATCAGCGCTGGCRCTGGCGGGACGCCACGGGTCCTAGCAGCACCCCCACCCCGCCCATCGGCCCCGCTCCACCCCCCGGCCCCGCCTGCTCGCTGCAAGGACCACCGCAGCCCCTGAGTGGTCGCCGCAAGCACCACGGCAGCCCCTGAGTGGTCGCCGCACCCGCGCTGACCCGCGCTGGAGCAGAGGCCTCGGCCCACGGAGCGCTCACTACCGAGTGGGCAGGACCTGTCGCCATGGCGGCCCCGGGGGCCGGTGGGCAGTGGCGTTCGGCGCCCCCTGCTGGGCGAAGACCGAGCAACGCTGAGCGTGGACACGCGGATAGTCGGACGGACAGATGGATCCATGGACGCACGCACGGACACACACACGGATACCCGGACAGAAGGACGCACACATGGACACACGGATAKACAACGGACGCATGGATACCTGTGTCGGTGTGTAACGGACACACGGACTATTGTGGGACCATACGGACACACAAACACATGCACCTGTGCAGGACCGCAGAGACACACGGGTGGGTTCACGTGCTGGTGTGGGACTGTACAGACACACAGACGGACACACAGATGGATATGCGTACCAGTGTGGRTCTGTATGGACACACACACATATGCATGGACAGACACACAGACACACCTGTCGACGGAGGCATGGACACGTCCATAGGTGTGCATGTGCATGTAAGAGGCATGGATATGCACACACATGCACACGTACAGGTGTGCACACACCTACCTGCACTGGAGCACATGCACAGACAGACTCGTGTGCACATATAMATCCACATGCACATATGTGTACACAGGTGTGCACACACCCTTTGCATTTCAATGTGTCCAGAGCACACAGAAATACACACGCACATGCACACCTACATAAAGCCACAAGTGTGCAAACTTGTACGTACCCACAGCTACTCACACATAAGCATACACACACGTAAGCACATGCACACACATAATCATTCACATGCACACACAGGCATACACTGCATACACCTGTGTGTACAGATGTGGGCCGGCACGTGTGCATCATACAGATGTGCACCCATACAGGTGCACCAGCAGCATGTGGAGGTCCTTGTCCTGGGGACCTCGTTGGGCAGGTGGGGGCCAAGTGGGTGCTGTGTCAGACTCTGCACCTGTTGGGAAGATACAGGAGCCCGCAGGTGTCATATGCCACCCTGAGGCACACATGGCCCTATCATCCATGTAATCTGCCTTTGCACAGCTGGGCAGGGAYAGAAAATTACTGAATGTGGGCAGGGGACAGTGAATTTATTTTCTGTGCAGAGCATCTGGAGTGATGGAGCCACAGCGTTGCCCCAGGGAGCTCGGCAGCACAGTCTTTCKCTGGCCCAGCCCACAGGGCATATGGCTGCTGGAGTCCTGTCCCAGCAGTGAGTGTACACAGTGCCTTGGTCTCAGTGCACCATAGACATTCCTGGGGATGCCAGTGGCTGTCAGCACTCATACTGTGTTGGGGCACACACCCAGYCCTGTGGGGCAGAGCAGCCGGGCCAGGGTGTCCAGAGGGGTGTCTAGAGGCGAAACAGCCCTGAGATGGGGGCACCTGAGGGCAAAAGGGGGATGCCCTAGTCTGGACTTACTGGAACTGGAGGACACCACAGTGGTGTGCACAGGAGGTCCCTGGACTGTGGGCAGTGCAGAATGGTGTAGGGGTGAGGAATCACAGGGTCAAGAACTCACAAAGTTGGTGGGGTTGCAGTACTTGTGAGGCCCCATGGCTGGGAACATCAGGGTACATGGAGGGGATCCCAGGGCTTGTAGGGATGAGAGACATGAAGAGTCTCTCTCAGGGATGCAGGCAAGGCTAGGCAGGGGGTGATGCAGGGGGTGATGCAGGGGATGAGCAGGTGTCCTCAGTCACTGCAGGCTCTGGTGACACACTCAATGCTGTGCCAGCAGTGGGGACCTAGGGGGCTGCTGTCCTCCATCCTCTAGAAGRGTGTTGTGTGGGGCAGCTGGGGGATCACATGCCCCCCCACCCCCTGGGGCTCCTGGAGCACCCAGAGGAGCAGATGAGGCAGAGAGGGGGTTTCTGAGTCTCCTGAGACATGACCCTCATGGCCAGACCCACCTTGAAGGAGSTGGAGAGAAGCAAGAGGAGGGAGAGGAGTAATGCCAGGCTGATGGTGATGCTTGGGGACGGTAGTGGGGACTGCACTGGCCCTGTCAGCCATTCTGAGTGCTGAGKCTTCCGTAGCACTGCCAACTCCATCTGTCAGGTACCTCCTCTAGGCACCTGCTCCTCCTGGTCCTAGGCTGAGAAACAGCCCCTTGTTACCTCTCACCCCAGGTGGGGGCTGCCAGGACCTCTGTGGGGTATCTGGATCCTGGCTATCCCTGTTTGCCTCCAGCAACAGTGCCTGGCAGGGTGCGTGGGGAGCAACTCCTCTCCCCAGCTGGGTGAGCTCCATCCTGACACCCCTGTACTGTACCCGGCCCAGATTTGCCCCAGCAAGGGCACATACTGCAAGGGCACCTATGACATGTTGCCTCTCTGCCCAGTGCCATCCTGGAGGATGTGGGATGTGAGGTGGTCATGCCCACTTGGGAGAGGCAGCAGGAGGGATAGTCAATGGGCACCCTGTGGAAACAAAGCAAAGCCTCAGTGTGGGCTTTGGGGCCGGGGAAGGAGCTGGGGTGTTGGCAGCAGGTGAGGGAGGGGGGCCACTGGCATCCTACAGTGTCCAGGGCTGGGTGCATGCCCAGCTCCATGCCTTTTATCATTGCTTGCCTGAATCAGTCAACACCATACACTTAATGATTGATAGGGGTCAGATCTGTGAGCTTCCAAAAAAGCAGAAGACATTGATTCCTCACCCATGACCAAGATATGGCTAAACTGGGRACAAGGGGCAGGAGAGGAGCCTGGCCTCTGTGGTTTCTCATTCTTCCAGGATAGGAAAGAAACTTCAAGGCTGGCAGGAAAGGGAGGGATTGGCGTTGACAGCATCCTGACCATCAGCAAACGCTTACAGGAAAAATATTAGTGCTTAAACATCTCCATGGAGTTTTGGCCGKCATTAACAGATGGGGTTGGCGCCCAAGCAAGAGGAGACCCTGGCAAGAGCCATGAGCTGAGAAGAAATTGCACCCTGGTCACACTGCCCCCAAGCTCTGGTAACAAGGATGATGACTGCCACCTATGCCTTGCTGCTCAAAGAATGGAAATTTTGCTCCAGCACTACAAACAGGGCATCATATCCAGCCACAGGCAGGTTTGCTTGTAGATACCTACCCAAAATTGCCCTGGCAGAGAAATGCCTTGGCCAAATGGTGACAGACAGCCCCAGGACACCTGGCTCATTGCAACTCTTGTCCCATACAGAGGGATTTACAGCATCTTGTTCCCAGTCCCATAGAGGCAGTTGCCTGCAGCCACATCTGGTATCCTCTACATTTGGGCAGGTCTATGCTCCAGGGGAGTTCCTTCTCACAGGTCCTGCTTGAACCAGTTGGCATTTACCCCTGCACCCACCCCACTCCAGTGAAAGCACAAGGGCACTTACACGGGGATACAGCTTATGGTAGCCTATCCCAGGGGGCACCTGCTGCACTCCAGGGACAGTGCAAGAACAGGCCAATATGGTCTTCAGCAAAATCAATTTATTTATTCACAGTCAAGCAATAAATAGAGTAAAATCAGGCAGCAGGGGTACTGAGAGTGGGACTGATCCTTCTGGGAACAGGGATGTGCCAGGGAGAGCCCAAGGCCTGTGTGAAAGCAAGAGTGCAAGAAGGCAGAGAGACATCTGCAATGGTCAGAAGTCTGACTTCTGGTATAAGACAAGACCTGAGCCCTGCTAGAAAAGCCAAAGTGTTAAAGAACAAGTGTGTCAGGGGAAGCAGCAGGCAGACCCCAGCACAGACAGCTGCCTCAGCCTCTAGCACTGGAAGCAGAGATGGCAGCTCAGGTCCCTCCAGTTTTTCACAGCCCTTCCAGAGCAGAACTACAGAGGAGGAGAGAGGCTTCCTCCATCCAGCCCAAATTCTCAGCCCAGTGAGATGCTTCTGCAGCTGAGACTAGACAGGGATGGGGTGCATGTGAGTTGGGAAGGAATCCCACAGGCAGTCACATCACCTGACATGTGACAGATCCTGACACCACCAATGTCAAATGCAAGACACAGGGACACCTGGATTTCTCACCCTGCCCTGGCTCCACCAGGAGACTCATAGCACCTCCAAGAGCTTCACACTCCAKTTTAGGGACACAGCTCATCTCTGAGAGCATCAGGCCAAGACACCTTTCCCACCAAAACCAGGYAGCAGTCACGGGGGTTGCAGGAAGGACAGATGCCATGGGGCAACCTGGGCTGTTTGTAGTGCTGGAGCCCACCCAGCAGTGAGGCATACTTCCCCCTCATACGTCCCCACATCTTGACATGTCCCTGCATCTGACAGGTCCACCGCCAACCTGAGTCTCCTGCTCTTCCCTATGGCCTTCTCACCCACCTTGTCAKGCCACCCACTCATGACTGGCTGCTGCTATGCCCAGAGTTTTCCCAGCCTTCATTGGCTTGTCTGCCCCTTGTGCACTTTCCCAAATGAGTAACCAGGGCTGCCTGGCAAAGCGAGACAGCTCCGTGCCCTGGCTTATCACGTGGCCCCACAGCACRTTAAGCATCACACACACCCCCACACAGCCCTCCCACTTCTTAGAACTGTGCCCAGCTGGCACCAGGAAGGGTGGTCAGCAGGCACCAGTACAACCTCGTCAGCTTTCCTATGTCCCTGTGCCTCCACTGGTGGCTCCCAGCCAGTGTGCCTACTCCCTGGCCCACTCCATCCCAGCAGGAGGGCAACAGTGTACTGTGGGTTTTGGCATGACACCAAGGGCTCTGGAGGTGGCACTGGCTGCAACTGCCCATACCCMACTCTGTACCCCAGGCAAACACCATGGAGCCACAGTCCCCAGTATGCACAGTGCCTCAAATGGCCCATGCCAACAAGAGAGTGGGCTTCATGCTCACAACCTTTCAACTTTGAGCAGGTGCTGGCAGMAAGACCTGAAAACTGGTCAAGGTACGCAAAGTTGTGGACATGCTGATGGTGATGGCAGAATGATGCCTACAGTGGGGTACTACTGGCTGACCCGGATATACTCAGCACTGCTGGGCTCAGGGTCGCTCTGCTCACTCACGTGCCTTAGTGCCAGCTGRGTAGAGTGAGGCACTGGGCAGTCTGGCTGTGCTGTGGGGCTGTCAGGGAGCAGATCCCCAGGCTCTGTGCCTGCTTGGGGCAGTGTGGACCAGCTTGCAGCAATGGGCACAAAGGTGGTGAGCCATTGCCAGAGAGTCAGCAGAGTGGAGGGAGCTGGAGGGGCTCTCACCACATGAGAGCACCCTCTCAGGTTCCAATCTCATTCCCCTAGGACCCAGGGACCTTCTGCCTCTTTAAAWCCTGATTGAAATCATGCCTTTAAAATAGGCTTTGGCAGGGACATCCTACCATTTAGCAGGAGGCTGTCTGGGAGCCTGTGKGCTGAGTGAGCTGGTTCTCCTGCCCCATTTCACCACGCTCCCCTACCCCAACACCTTTACAGCCCCCATAGCCAAGCTCTGTTTGGTTAGCTTTGCTCCTGATCTAGGTTTTAGTCTCTTTAGTCTGGAATTTGTACTCCTTTTTGTATACAGAATCCCCCCCACCTTTCTGCTTCTGTGCCAAGCTGAAGCAGCTGGTGTGATAACAGCTGGCAGCACCCTGAGATCCTTCTGCTGGTGCCCACTAACCTGCTCCCTTCCCAAACACACACTCACCTATCATGGCTATGCCCTACTCTTTCACCAGCCTCCTCTGCCTCCTTGTTGTGCCCCTTTCCCAGGCTTCAAACCAGTCCCCACTGCTTCTTGGCTCCCTGCCTGCTGTGCCCATCCTGCCTCTCCTGCAGGCCCTGCAAACATAGGCACCAGGCAGCCCAGGCTGGCACGTGGGGCCAGCAAATGGGCAGCCCCTGCACTAGATGCTGAATCTGTACTGGCATGCCACTGACTATGAAGACTGACCCCACCACAGMCTGAGCTTCAACACCTTCCACCTGGTCCAGGCCAGTTCCCATTGGCGTCAACCCTGGGCACATAAGGAATCAGTGGGCACTAAGGATGGCATGGAAGCTTAGCTGAGCTAGTAGGATGGAATTGAGCTCTGAAGGCAGGGTATCTCTCACCTGCTTGCTTCCCCCCCTACAGTGTCCTGGTTGGGGTTGCTCTTGGCCATGGGGTTCCATTTGGCAGGAGTCCAAGGCTCTACTCCAGGGGTGAGATGGGCAAATGTGTGGCTGGCCCTTGTGTGTCCTTCTCCCCTGCCCAGCCTGCTTGATGCTCTGCCAGGCTAGTAGTGTTGGTGCAGAGGATAGGAAATGTTACAGACTCTCTTTGCCCTTCACCCCACCAGCAAGCCATAGCTCATGCCTTCTGTTTGCTGCAGCTTCTGCCTTCTGCTGGAGCAGATGGCTGTCACAGGCTCTGCTGTGCTGTGTRGGGCTGGGACAGCACCATGGGAAAATGGGGTGCTGCACAGTGCTTGCTGCACTGTGCTAAGGGGATACTGGTCACTGCTTCCTTGCAGGTTGCTGGAACTTGTAGGCCCTCACCTACTGCCTGGTGGGCCAGCCAGAGGCCCAGCACCTCCTTAGAACCACTGTGGTCTATCTGCCCGGTCTGTCACTAGGCAGTGGTCTCCTCCTCTGCTCTCTGGAGTTGGTGGTGGCTGGCGAGGCACCCAGGGTGCTACTCAGCCTTACTGCCCGTCCCCGCCATGGCCGAAGTTGACGTCACTCCTTACCTGGTGCTGGGGAACAGCAGCATGGGGAGCCTGGCACTGCGCCATATRTGTATGCATGCTGGCTGAGGAGGAGGCCATGATGCCCCAGTGGCTCCTAGCTGCCCTTTCCTCCTTCTCTACCTTAGTGATAAATAGGCAGGGTTGGCACCTCTGGCAGCAGATCCCCACTGATACTGGCATGATACAGGGACTTTGGCTCCTGACCTGCCCAACTACCTATGGGAGCAGGGATGGGAGAAGAGTGACTGTTCCCTCCACCCCTTCCTGTCAGTTTTGCACCCTTGGGCTGGGACCCACTGCTACAACCCACACAACTGCAAAGGCACCTGTCCCCATCTGCTCCACTATGACCACCATGCTCCCAACCATGCTGTGGTGCAGAGCTTTGTTCATCAACTAGTGGATGCCAATGTGCCCCAGCCCTCTTGTGTGCCCTACTGCTACAGCCCCATCAGTGTCCTCATGATCGAGCACAATGGAGGCATACTGTATAAGGAGTATGAGAATATGATTGCAGAGTCCTGCACCTGCCAGTAATTCCTACTGCCCCAGCACATCACCCCTGGGCTCTGCCTCTTCCTGCACATCTGGACTTTACCGTGCTCTGCCTGGAGCTCACTTGGCTCATGTCCCCTTCCCCATGCAGCACTGTCTAGTGGAGAGGTTTTACAGTGATAATTTTATGTAAATTTAAGATTTTTAAAGGCAGGAACCTGTGCTGGGACAGTTGCCCCATGGCATCTGTCCTTCCTGCAACCCCCGTGACTGCT